CTTAATTTCCACTTTTTGAATCCTCCGCTAAGATTTAATAACTTTTAAAGTATATAAAGGACAAAAATTATTCTGATTTCTTTGAGGACATTTCGATGGGAGGAAAAATAATCCATAAAAAATTTTCAGAGAAACTGATAGCTGGGTTTCTTTTAGATCATTAGCTGTGAGCGGAGTGCTGCAACGTCGCAATCGAAAATAATATTTTTTTTTTTATTTTATACTTATTATTTTATTGTTTTTTTTTTGTCATTTGCCGTTGCAGCCTCTTTCTAAAACCAGCCAACGAAATTTCTTGAAAACTTCCTCTATTTTTCTTCTCTGTCAACGAAATATATTCTGTATGGATTTCAAGGTAATACGCTAACTTGACCCTCTTCGAAAAAATAAAATAGCAGAAATTTTGAGACGCTGCAATGGAGATACGTGGTTTCGCACGTTTTTGTCATCGATACTATGAAACTTTACGCAATGTTGCGTTCAAATTGTGCTTATTCTCTACCTTAAGGACCGTCCAAATAGTATGTGAGGCATCTTGGCGTACTTAATGAAACATCACCNCCCCCCCCCCTCCTTCGTCGATAAGACAACCTCCCCCCCTCTTTTTGAAGTATAAGACCATCTGGAACTAGGAATTTTAAATTTCTTTTTTACCACGATATTACCTAAAGTGTCGGTACAATTTTCTTTCCCTCTTGATCCGAGAAAAGCAAAAACGCCATAGAGAAAAAAAGAAGGTGTTTGCATCTTGAGGATTGTGTACCCTGTGACGTAGGTCGGTACAACCTGGTCAGTCAAATCCGGAATTTAAGTATGAGAAACGGACCATAACGTCAGATTTTTTTGCTTAAATCAACTCATGATGTCATTTCAAACACTTTAGGTAGAATGCATTTTTTCCATAAACTACACAATTTCCAAGAAAATCGATGATAAAAGTCGCCGTACCGACCTACGTCATCAAAAAAAGTCCAAGATGCCCGAAATGCAAACGCCTTTTTTTTCTCTATGCAAAAACGCGCTATCAATGATAAACCCTCTTCCACCAGTAAGACACCCCCCCCCCCTCCGTTTGAAGTAGGTGACCATCTAAAGCTAGGACTTTTCAGTTTTCTAACCACGATATTAACTACAGGGTCTGTGCAATTTTCTTTTCCTTTTGATCCAAGAAGAGTGAAAACGCGCCATCAATGATAGATTTTATTACTTATGAGGATAGGCGAAAAGAGACGAAAAATCATGGGCGATTTTTGAAAGTTGGCATCACTGTTTTTCCGCCATATAAATCCATTAAAAATTTTGACTGTAAGTGAGACAATTCGCCTCATCAAGAATCGATTGTTTTACATACATTTAAATGGAGGTAAAACAGTGTTGACAACTTTCAAAAATCGCCCCTGCGGAAAAATCCATGCCTCCCGAATCACCATCTGGAGCTTAGAATTTTGATTTTCTTTTTCAAATATATGTTGGTGCCTACTTTACCGCGCTAAGGAAAAACGCCGTATGAACATTCGAGAGTTGCCAAGTTTCCTCACATAAAATATTGATTTTTGAGGAAATAAACGAGTATTTTTCCTCGATATTTTCAGGAACTTTAGGAGGAATTGCAAACAAAATTAGCTGAAAAATTGGAAGAAAAATATTTATGGACTCACCAGGAAATTCGTGTTTTATCAAAGGAAATTCGACAACGTCTGAAGGTTCATACGGCGGTTTATCTTAGCACGGCATTACACTATTTTCCCCCTCTCAATCCGGAAAAAGTAAAAAAACCGTACCTATGATGGAGCCTGTAGGATTGGAAAAATCCATATTTTTCTCTTTTTTTCTGGCCAATTGGCTTCGTCCCTTGGGAACCTACAGCCATCTGCAGGACAGATTTATTGACCGCAGACATCACGGTGAGAGGAACATCCATGCTCCAGGCTTTTCAAATTTTCAGGGATTGGGACCTTGTAGAATCTGTTTCTGCAGATACTCGTCAGTGCCATGAGGATTCTGGATTTGACGCCTCTACCGGGATACGAACCCGGGTCCTATTGACCTAGACCATTAGACCTACAGGGCTGGTTTAAATGCTGCCTTGCCATGTCCTCCTGGCGATAGTCAGAATCCATAATTTTTAGGGGTTTTTTTTCATATGATATTTTTGGGCATGAACAACACTGTTCCCACCTTTGGATCCAAAAAACTCGAAAACGCTATATATTAACTTTTCCACAATATGGCCGGGACTGAGGTCCAATTATGGAAACTATGTCGACCTGACACGACAAGTCATAGCCCCATGGACATATCTTGATCATGCAATATATTGCAGTTTGATATCTTATCGGGCTGCTTTAAACTTTTAATAATCGGCCCGCAGGTCGAGAGGAGCAGAAGAATCCATGATTACTCCCTACCATTTTCCATGGGTGACCATGACCATAATGAGGCTCGGAATTTTGAAGCTTTTAATACGATATTTTGGTACGCATACAAGTTTTCCTGTCATCCTAGAATTATTAGTTGACAGCGCTATCAATGATGGAATCTATGCAACAAAAATAAAGGGTCTTGGGNGCTCTGTGTTGCAGGGATTTAGACTGGCTCTCTCGTGCTTCATAATGACCTTTTTCTGTGAAATGAAAGGGAGTAGGGTAAGGGGAGTAAGGCCTCAACCGTGAGAGTTTCTGCAAAGTTATGGCCTCTGGATGCGATATCATGTAACTTTCAATAACTAATTTTGGTTTCAGGTATTTTTTCAGTAAGTTGTAATTTTTAGCCGACGTGCGTTAAAAATCAATTTAAAGGTGACTAGATGGCTAGCTGTCTAGCTCACTAGATGGCGCAAGTTTATTCGTCGTCAGTGACCGCTTGCCCAAGTCTCGGGCTGGTTTCCACGACCTCTCCTAGCTTGGTATCAGGAAATTAGGGTGGAGGCGCTGCATTATGCAAATTGCCCCAATGGACCACTAGACAAGGTACGAATTTAAGCATTCTAATACATGTTTCCGAACCAGACTTTCACGCGAAACACGATTTGCGCAACGAAAATTACTGAAATCAACTCCTTAGGAAGATATTAACGTTTTTATTTCACATTGGTTATGAGGAATTTAAAAGGCCCGCTCACAAGAAACTCAAAGCTCTACGTAAGTCAAATCGCGCACCACAACGGTTTCAGCGAGCCTCTCAATCGAGCAAACGTTCATTTCCCACCATGTGTTGTTCAAACTATAAGCAATTTGCTGTAACTGAGCCAAAGCGTCAAGATTGAGGTTGCCAGATTTTTATATCGCAGAGACTGTCATGATGACGTTTAGCGCGCGATGTGAATCACGTATAGCATTGAGTTTTCATGAGCGGGTGGTTTGAATTCAGGCATAAAGAATCATTTAATTTCTTCGTAAGGAGTTGATTTCGGTAGTTTTTGTTGTGCGCATCGTGTTCTACGTGAAATTTCGGTTAAGAAACCTGTATCAGAATGCTGAAATTCGTACCTTGTCTAGTGGTCCATTAGGGATGTCGATTTTTTTTAAAAAATCGATTACGCGAATCGATTCGATTTTTTCCGAAAAACCGATTAATCGATTTAAAATCGTACCTCAAAAATCGATTTTTAAAATCGAATCGAAAAGATCGTTTTTTCCCGCTAGAAATTTTTTAAGTGAAAGAAAGTTCTAGTGGCGTTGATTTGATTTGGATTTTGGTGGCGTGGTGGCCTGAGGCCTCAACGTGGTGGATGGTAATTGAACGATTGAACGGCATTTTTGGGTAAGTAATAAGAATTGTTGGTAATTAATTGTACACGCCTATTCCTTGCAGAGATTTCATATTATCACATTGAGGCCGAAAAGCCGATGGGAACAATTAAAAGGCCCAGGCCTATACGCTAATAGGCCTCTCCATGCTCTCGCTCTTAGGTACTAATGTGCCACCACATTATTTTAATTGATCAATCTATGTCCATGCGAAAGCTCTGTCACAACAAGAGCCTTGAAGTAACATACTGGGCTAGCGGCAAGCTAACAAAATTGTAGATAGTTTCTCTGAGGTCTGTCCACAACATTCACATACTAGGAACATCTCTGCTTACTACTTACGCCCAACACTTAGGATGTCTCTTCCTCGGGGAGATATCTTTGAACGAATTTCTGTACATAACAGTCTGCCTACTTAGAGCCTTGTCTACACAAGAGAAGTTTGTGTGAAGTTTGCAGAACTTGCTCCGTCTGCACATTGTCTTTCTCCAATTTTATGTGCGCACAAGGAACAAGTTCTGCAAACTTTGCTGGAACTTCTCTCAGTTCTCTCACGCAGGAAAGGCCAAGCATGTCGTGAGGCCATGGATGGTATCCTTCAACATATAGGCCCAAATCTGGGCCTGAATTTGTTGGAATAGAGGAGCCTCATAAAATAGGAACCATCATTTCCAGATGAAGCTACAGCCCCAGGTGAATAGATTTTATAATGTTTTGACGAGTACCTAAAAGGTCTTTTCATTTTAACCGTTTGGTATGATATGCAATGAACAGCCATATTGTTTTCTGACGGATCGAATTAGAAGTGAAGATTTTATGCGGTTGAGAAACTACATACGGATAGTTTTAAAACAGAAACTGTCCAGAAACAAGGTATTTTTAAGATTCTGCCGCAATGGTTTCCCATAGTTTTAAAGTTAGTTTTCAGTTCTGGGGATCACCACTATTATTTTTCTTCTCATGATGGATGAGCGACATGTTGCTTGATATGTTTAGCAACCAAGATCTATTAACTTCGTTTGCATGGTTGACCAATTTTCTTGGCAAACTGTTTCATCAATCACTATTAGTTGGCAATGTTTGTTGCTGCGTATAGGAAAATAGGAAGCCCCTGAATAAAACTTTTGACTCTGTCATTGACATTCTCAGGATAGCCAGTGAAGGGCCTCTAAAACATGTACTTTTTGTTAGAGACCTTCGGTTCAAAAGTAATCATTGGTTATTTTTCTATGTCAGGGAATCTAGTTTTTATGATTTTTTTGGAAATCTTCGTTGGACACCATTTAGCAGTAGTGATCTCTCTACATTAAGTTATTATTTCCGGGACAGCTCTTTTATAAGCAAAGTTCATTAGTCTGTTGTGTAATAATATTAATTGCTCTGCCACAATATTGTAGGTATGGCGGGCCGAAGCCAAAAGCGGAAGGCAAGTGCCAACCTCAAACCCGAGTTCGAGACCATCTCAAGATTCGAAAAACGATGCCGGAGGTGCCAAAAAATGGTAAAGACGTGTGGCAACACCACTAACCTAAAACAACACTTCATGAGGAAACATGAAGAAGTCTACCATCGCCTTCTTCAGGCTGCCCAGCAGGCTGAAAATCCAGATCCAGATGATCCAGATGCACCTGATGAGGTAATGATCATTCTATGAAGAAAATATTCTAATTTTTATTGCCTTTAATTTATGCAGATGATGTACATACGTACATCAGCTGAAGCATGTACTTAGGATCAAAAAGGCACAAAGTCAACTTCGGATCAAAAAGGCACAAAGTCAACTTAGGATCAAAAAGGCACAAAGTCACTTTTTTCAACTTTCAGAGAACCCCAAAAATCTGAAACTTTTCTTTGGCCTGATGAATTTTTTTGGGTTAAGGCTTAAATCACACTTTGGACCCGTGTGATTAGACATGTAAAGTTTAAAAGTAAATGTTGTTTTCACAAAGGATGACTCTTCTGCTTTGCTTATCGTCCATATGTGCTTCGATTATTGCGATTACTTAAAAAAAAAAATCTGTTGAATTGCCCTGCCAAGATATGTTTATATCCACAAATTGATCCCCTGACTGTTTTCGTGGCTCCCTCCCAGGAACTACCTCAAATTTTATAATGCCCATAGGGGGATTTTCAAGATTGATAATTCCACAGCATATTTAGACACTAAATATCAAAGATATGCAACAAAGGATTTTTTTTTTTGCTTTTATGAATAGAAAGATGGTGAAGGTTAATCTTATGGAGGTTATTTTCTTTCATTGTAGGTGCCTGAACAAGTTGAACCAGTAGCTGGCCCGAGCAGAGAAAGTGATCCTCCTAGAGTTCCCAGCACAGTGACTCCTTCAAGACAAGTTCAGCAACCCAGCCAAGCAGGTACTTCAGCGAGAAATCTTGGCCAGCCCACCATGCCAGCCGAAGCGGATCCTCAGAGAGTTCCCAGCACAGCGACTCCTTCAAGACAATCACAGCAACCCAGCCGAGCGGGTACTCCAGCGAGAAACCTTAGCCAGCCCACCATGCCAGCCACTTTCAATACCAGCAACAGTTTCAAAATAGGTAACAATTGAAGATATTATTACCTACTTGAAGGGCCAATCAAGTCTTACGCAAGATTGCTGACTTTTTGATACCATTTTCCTCCTTCCGAGGCACCCATAATGCAACCTGTCACCCTTCCCCCTCCATTTTTTCAGGTACTAAGGAAAAAAGCCAGAAAAATTAGCTAGATAAAATTTAAGGTGTTTGGAAAGACATATCAATGATAAATAGTGATGAAAAGACGACATTCAATTAAATTTAATTGTGTTATATACGAATATATAACCTACACAACAGTCCCAATGCATCGCTTTGCTTAAGAGGAGGGGCGGAAGTCCCCTCGAACCAAATTTGCCCTGTTCATAATACAAATCAGTAAGAGAAAGTGTTATTAAATTTGCAATCATTTCATTCTATGATGAATAGTATTATTGATAGTACAGTCACTAATATTATTGATATTTTTTCTTCCTCTCAGGGGGCGCTCGAGATAAACAGTTGGTGAACGCTCTTATGTTTATGATTGCCAAAGATAACGAACCTTTTAGAATTGTCGAAAAAGAAGGTTTTCGTTATTTCTGTTCAGTGGCTGTTCCACACTTTCAAATACCAGGTAAAACAAAAATCACTTATCTGATGGACAAAAAGTTCTCAGAACTAAAACCATTAGTCAAAGATACGTCATTTAAAGATATTGACTATATCTGCATTACATTTGATGTATGGACAGATACAATGAACCATAAAAGTTATCTGGGCATTACAGCTCATTTTATGGAAAATGGTAAACTGGTAAGCTTAATTTTAAATACAGTACACCTGGAAGAAAGGCACCTAGGTGTAAATATAAAGAACAAAGTAGAAGAAACTTTTAAAGATTGGGGGCTTAGAACCCTTCAGATAGTCCTTGTTGTAACGGATGGAGCTGCGAATATGGTGAATGCTGCAAATCTTTTGACCGGGAATGAAGATAAACATCTACATTGCATTGCGCATGTGCTTAATCTTATTGCTGAAGTGGTATTAGCAAATCCCTTCCTGGCACCGCTCCTAGCACCAGTGAAGGCCATCATCACAGCTTTTATTCAAAGTTATATTCTTTCTGATGAGCCAAGAGACGCCCAACCACCTGGTGAAGCCCTCAAACTCATGCAGTCAGTGATAACTCGATGGAACTCAGAATTCTATATGATCCAAAGATTTTTAAAATTAAAAGACTATATCAGTGGTGTGCTTATAAACCACCCTGACTCGGTACAGATGATTAGTGCAAGAAAAGTTAGCGAGCTCCAAGAGGTGATGACGCTCTTGGAGCCGCTTGAGGAAATGACCAGACATTTAAGTGGTCTTCATTATGTTACGTGCTCAGCCGTAATTCCATTGGTAAACTGCCTCCGTGCCACAATTCAACTGAAAAGACCTGAATCAGCAGTAGCTGTTGCTGTGCAAGCTGCACTTCTGGCTGAGATTGATCGTCCAGATCGATTTGGAAATATTGAGTTGAACCAGAATCTCATGATGGCTATGATTCTAGATCCTAGATTTAAGCAGGATCACTCACAGCATCCTACCCATGTGGCAGCTGCTTTTACCAAGATATCAGAATTGGTCAGTAGAGAGGACATGGTGGCCGAAGTGGAAAATTTAGATCAGGCAGCAGAAGAAGACGGAGCAGTTCATCATGGTCTTTTATTGCACCATGAAACTATTAGAGCACAGAGAAATTCTTCACGCAACCGCACCATCGGGGGTATGCACAGAGAGCTGAGACTGTATCTCGAGGAAGAAACGATTCCTACAAAACATTGTCCCATCACCTACTGGATGAGGTATAAGGATGTTTTCCCTAGTTTATTTAGAGTTGCAAAAAGGTTTTTAATTATGCCTGCCACCTCTGTACCCTCAGAGAGGTTATTTTCTCAAGCTGGGCTTATTTTAACAAACGAGAGAAGCAGGCTTGATTCCCAAAGGCTCTCAGCTTTGTTGTTCTTAAACTCACTGTCCAAAGAGAAGTGGAACTTGTAAGATGTGTCTGTTCTGCCTTTCTGCTATTCACATGTAGTTTTGTTGTTCCATCTTTTGGACCTTTAGTCAAATATTTGTTTCGTTTGCTTACCTACCAGGTGCTTTAGAATATATTTTTAAGTATATTGCGTATTGAAGTTAAAAGTGTAGACTTCGTCAACTTCGTGTGAAATTGAAGTGCCTTTATTCTTGGGCTCTCCTACAAATGTTTTGTTGTTCTATTTCATGTGCCTTTTCTAAAATAGAAAAACACATTTTCAACATTGTTAAATTTTGTGGTAAAAACTTTTCTGTCATTGTAAAAGAAATCTCTTTTAAGGTTATTCCTGGTTGCAAATCTGTCTAGTTTTGAGCAAGGTAGAGACGTGCATTGAATACGGAACTTCGACTACTCATAAAAGTTATTTTTCACTTTCTTTATTAGCTATTGCGCCAAAAAGGGGAAAATTCATAGAATTTTCACAGTCTTTCCGAGTAAGTGTTCATAGAAATAAGGCTTCTTTTTTTTTCCTTTCCACACACTGACACAAAGTTCATTGAAATTTCAATTGGACCTGTAAAATGCTATCAAGCACAACAAAGCTCAGACAAATTTAAGAATGTTCTTACGGTTCAGTAGAGATTTGCACTCATTCTAAGCAGTATTTCGGCTCTAGTACTCTTTCAAAGTTACTGTTCCGTACTATTTTCAATATTTTTCAATTTTATAATAAAAATTTTCTGTCATTGTCATAGAAAATTAGGTCTCTTTTAAAGTTGTTCTTCACTGTAAATTTTTCTAGTTTGCTCTTAGTTCAATACACAAAAGCAATATTGAGCACGGTACTTGAACTACTCATTAGAGTTACTTATCACTTTCCCAACTGCATAGCTGTTTCTCTAACAACTGGAAAATTCATTAAACTTTTTACAGTTTTCCGAGTCTTCTTAGAACATAAGTTTTTTTTTGCTTTCCACAAATCGACATAATGTTTATTAAAGTATTAGTAGGAGCAGTAACGTGGTATTTCTCGAGAAAAATTTATTGCAGACAAATTTAATAATGTACTTAGGGTTCTGTTGAGATTTGCACTCACTGAAAGCAGTATTTTGGCTCAAGTGGCCTTTCGAAGTTGGCATTCGTACCTACTATTTTCGGTATTTTTTATTTTGTAATGAAAATTTTCAGTCATTGGTACTGAAAATTAGATCTCTTTTAAAGTCGTTCCTCATTGTAAATTTTTCTAGATTTCTCTTAGTTATATACGCAAAAGCAATATTGAGTACGATACTTAAAGTACTCATTAGAGTTTCTTTTCACTTTCCTATCTGCGTAACTGTTTCTCTAATAACGAGAAAATTCATTAAATATTTACAGTAGGAGCAGTAACGTGGTATTTCTCAAGAAAAATTTATTGCAGACAAATTTAATAATGTACTTAAGGTTCTGTTGAGATTTGCACTCACTGAAAGCAGTATTTCGGCTCAAGTGGACTTTCGAAGTTGGCATTCGTACCTACTATTTTCGGTATTTTTTATTTTGTAATGAAAATTTTCAGTCATTGGTACTGAAAATCAAATCTCTTTTAAAGTTGTTCCTCACCGTAATTTTGTCTAGTTTGCTCTTAGTTTAAGACGCAAAAGCAATATTGAGTACAGTACTTAAACTACTCATTAGAGTTTCTTTTCACTTTCCTATCTGCATAGCTGTTTCTCCAACAACTGGAAAATTCATCAAATATTTACAGTTTTCCTAAGTCTTCTTAGAACTTAGATTTTTTTTTTTGTTCTCCACAAATTGACATAATGTTTATTAAAGTATTAGTAGGACCAGTAAAATGGTATTTCTCGAGTTATTTTTTATTGCAAACAAATTTAATAATGTACTTAAGGTTCAGTTGAGATTTGCACTCGTTCTATAGTATTTCGGCTCCATGTGCCTGCATTCCGTACTTCTTTCAACATTTTTTTTATTTTGCTCTGATAATTTTCAGTCTTTGTTACAGAAAATCTGTTCTCTTTCTAAGTTGCTCCTCATCATACATTTTTCTAGTTTGCTCCTAAGCTTAAGTGGAAAAGCGTTACCTATGGAATGCGAAACTGTGATTACCTACTTATTAGAGTTAGTTTTCACTGTGTATTTTATAAGTTTAAATGTAAGCGTTTTTATTTTTTATTACATTTTCATTTTCAGTTTCATTCGATTCTTTATATTTCTCATTCCTATTTTTATATTTTACGTCATATCTGTCCAGTGTTAAGGGCCTATTAGTCCATTAGATTTCATCATTTTCAATCTTAATTATTCATCAATTAAAGCGTGTAAAAACAATCAAATTTTACTCCCTAAGAGAGTTTGTATGGTCTATAGTCGACCCAATAGGCCAGCATTTTCCTTTTCAGAGCAGCAGTTCTAATACTGATCTAATACTTGGACATGGAATACTTCCCTGAAATAAGCTCAAACCCAGGACAGAGTGACAGAGATCCATTTTTCATTTAAAATAGTCACAATTTTTGATGCGGTTTCGAATTTTAGCTTTTTTCTGTGAGCATCAATTCCCACTTTTATGAGTGCCTTTTTTTTGCTATAGCACTTTTTGGAGAGCAGATTTATTTTGTGTTACCTTTATCTGAATCTTGTGCATTGGCACACTTTCATCGGCAGTAGAGAAAAAAATTCACAAAAGAGAAATGCCAGCAAGAACATTTTTTAAGAAAAGAGAAAAAAAGTCTAAGAACCCTAGTGATGCGGAATGCCCCGTAATACAGGATCTTGTTTGTTAGAAATGCTCATTGATTTTTGGAAGAAATTTTTTATTTTATTTATAAGTCAGAAAAAAAATTAAAATCAGCCCGAACGCCGGTTGATTGGATGGCCAGGATTAAAGTTGCGGACAACTCCAAGGGCAGGATTTCCATTGAATCCTATATATTAAAATGCAAAGTTCCGAATCTTGGGGCATTAACTTTGAGAGAACCACCGGACCGATTTGCGTGATCTTTTTTTTAAATGAAAGCCCCTGAGCTGTAGATTTGCAGGCTGTGATCGTTTTTTCGATTTTCTCAAATTTTCTCCCATAATTTTCTCAAATTTTCTTCGATGCATTAAAACGGAGGTCCGAATCTTTGGACGTTAACTCTGAGGGAACCACTGGACCGATTTGCATGATTTTTGTTTTAAATGAAAGCCTGTGATCTGTAGATTTGCAGGCTGTGATTGTTTTTTCAATTTTCTCAAATTGTCTTACTTTTATCGACGAGTGAAGTTTAGCTGGGCTCAAATTTTCTCCCATTTATTCAGACTAAAGTCCGCATTTTGGGACATAAACTTTGAGAGAACCACCGGACCGATTTGCATGGGTTTTTTTTTAAATGAAAGCTTCTGATCTGTAGATTTGCAGGCTGTAATTGTTTTTTCGATTTTCTCAAATTTTCTTACTTTTATCGACGAGTAAAGCTCGGCTGTTTCGAGCGGTCATCTGGCCGCTACCTGCTTGTTCGTCCCTAGATACCCCCTCTAGGGTCCCAGCCACCCCTCCCACCACGTTCTTTCGGCTATCTCCGTTTTCTTTCGTATAGCTTTCCTCCCACCAACCTCAAAGAAGGTTTGGGTCGCATTGTCGTTCGTCACTCACCACCCACATTCCGTCGCAATCTCTCGGCTACTCCGCTTCACCACTTCTTGATAGGCATCCTGGCGATTTGACTGACCCTGACTTATTAACTGCAGCGGTGCGCACACGTATTGCTAACAACATGTATTGTTATGGACATTTCATTCTGATTTGTTCTTTTCTCTTTCCAACTTTGTTTCAAATTTGCTTGATACTTCGTTTCTTCCTCTCTCTTTATTTTGTTGGTCGGTCGACTACGTTGATCGGCTTTTTGCTATTGAAAGCACATTAAGACTTCATGGATTTTCAATATCATCATTTGATCTTCCGGAATTGCTTCCAATTAACCTGAATCTTCAAGGGTCGGAGCCTGACTCTCCTCCCCCTAAAACTATGATTCCATGATTTCTGCCGCTAACCCAGAGCAACATCAAATTATTTCTGAAATAATTAGTCTCATCCAAAATCCATCTTGAACGTGTAATGCAATTTTCATTGATGGTCCAGGAGAATTGGGAAAAACTTTCGTTTAAGAATGTCTTGCTGCGTATTGTACAAAGGAAAACTTAGACGTCATCTCCGTTGCTTGGACAGGTATCGCCGCATCGTTGCTACCTACCGGTCGGCCGGTTCATAGCAAATTCAAAATTCTTTCGGTTCTGAATGAGAACTCTGTGTCGAGTCTGACGGTTAGCTCAAGAGAGGCTGAGACTATTCGGAAAACAACGATCATTTTTTGGGGTGAAGCTCCCATGGTTATCACGCATGCCCTGGCATGCATCGACCGACTTCTTAGAGAATGGGTAATGATATCCCTTTTCGAGGAAAAATTGTCGTCTAGGGTGGTGATTTTAGACAGGTTTTACCCGTTGTTCCGCATGCTTCTCGCCAAACATTGGTGCATAAATGCAATCAAATTCTCACCACTTTGACCTCTTTTCAAAATCAGAAAACTTACTCAAAATATGAGAACTTTGCAAGACGAAGCGGAGTTCGCAAAACTTTAACTCGAAATAGGTGATGGTGTTTACCTTTCTGCTAAAAAAGGCCATGCCGGAATTCATTGATTTACCGACAAGCAGTACTACTGAAACTGATATTATTACTGAAATTTATGGAAAAGATAGCTTCCTCATGTTCAAACGTAGATTTCACTAACTGCGCAATTCTGGCCCCTAAAAATAAGCATTGCAATGAAATTAACGACAAGGTTGTTGAAGTTCTTTCAGGTGTCTCTAAAACGTACTACAGTGTTAACAGGCTCATTGTAGAGGAAGAGGGAGAGGCTCTCAATTTTTCCCTCGAATTCTTGGACAGTTTTAATCTTAGTGGCTTACCACCGAATAAACTCACACTTTTGGAGGGGGTTTTTGTCATGCTTTTAAGAAACCTCAACGTTTCTAAAGGTTTATCGAATGGTACCCGATTGATCGTCTGGAAACGTTATGAAAATTGTCTTGATTTGCAGGTCATTTCCGGCGAGAAGGCCGCGGTGAAAGAATTTCACTGCCAAGAATTGATTTGTCACCTGCAGTCTCCTCTCTCCCTTTCTCTTTTAAGAGGCGACAATTTCCAATTCGCATTGCGTTCTGCATGACCATCATCAAAGCTAAGGGTCAAACACTGAAGCGAGTCGGCATTTATTTACCCCAAACAGTTTTTGGTCATGGTCAACTATATGTTGCACTCTCACGAGCTACATCGTACAAAAATTTTGAAGTCCAAATTCTTCCCAAAGGCAACCGTACAAAAAACATCGTGCACAAAGAGGTGCTTCGATCTTTTATAAATCTCAAAAGCCTCATAGTCATTAGAAAATTATCAAAAAATAAAAATAAAAAAAAATTAAAAAATAACACAAAAAAAAGGAAAAACTAATAATGCGAGCTTTTTATAACATCTTTCGGTAGAATGGCAGTCTCCACCCTGTAACGCAGAGAGGCAGTTAAATTCCTTGATCTTCTGCCGCAGAATCATCATCATTATTAAATAGATTCAACTAATCGCTCCGATTCCAAATAAGCTACTGCACCACCATTGCTAGCTGTGGAGGGCGCCCGTAGGGCGCCCGGAGCAGCTAGTAAATTTAAAAATTCTAGCCCTGGTGGCCGGAGCAGTTGTCTTCTACGCCTGGCCACATCCTGTGCTCTCCGCATGGCTCTTTCTGCAGGCTGTTCTTGTGCCTTTAAGAAAATAGGTAGTAGTAGTAGTAAAATAATTTTATTTTAAAGCGGTGCTTTAGCATCTAAGGCCATTTACACCTCTAAAGAGGGCAGTAACAGTAATAAATTTACATGGAAATATCAGTAAAAATACAAAAGGGTTGNAAGAGATTTAACTTTGAGACCGGTCAAAACCCACAACTAGTTCAAGGAATGTTTGACGTTTGACCGTTTTGACGGTTAAGAAGTTTTGTTTACAGTATTCCAAGGCGGATAAAGAATGGTGGTCGCATTTCGATTTTGGCTGCCATCTTGAAGCGTTGTGACGTCAGGAGGGTACGGGTTTTGCCGTGCAATCCGAGGTTGAGTCGGCCCCCCCGGCCTCGGCCAGCCCATGTACCCGATGTACCCGATACCGTGTGACGTCCAGAGGGTACGAAATGCGATCACCATTCTTTATCCGCCTTGACAGTATTCATTCAAATTTCAAAGAGGTTATGGTCGTTATGGTGCTTGAAGATCTGATCAGCAATTGCAATTAAACCTAAAAGAATGTATTAGAAAGTTTACCAAACGCTAAATACCTTCCTTCTGGACCCGCGTTTGAACGTAGAGTCCCTTTATAACCCAGAGTTAAGACAACTCACTTTTGGTTAGGCTGAAAGTGGCCTAAAAAAAAATCCAATTCTGATTGGTTCTCGCTCATGGAGGCCGAAACGAGTGCACCAAGATGGCGGTACCTCGAATGTGAACAAAAGTAATGAAAATATAACTAAATTGTGGTTTATCAAGAGTGAATTGTTATTTTAATCGCACCAAAATGAAAATATATTAAGAAATTATCCACTAATCAATCTAATTTAAAGGTTTTGATCAGTTTTTGTTGATGTTGTTGTTTTTGGATGACAGACATCGGAGGATTCCTTATCCTTATCCCTCAATATCGTTCGTTTGAGTGCACTCGTTTCGGCCTCCATGGCCAGCCAAGGCCGGCTGCCAGTCAGCTGATAATCGAGTTGTCTTAACTCTGGGTTATAAAGGGACTCTATTTGAACGTAAGTAGGTTTGACGTGACGTTAAAAGAGTAATCTAGACAGAGCGAAAAAGTCTGAACGATTTTTACGATTTTTTTAAATAGAAAATCGATTGAATCGATAAATCGTCTCTCACAAAATCGATTCAAAAAAATCGATTTTTTCAGAGAAAAAATCGATTCGTCAGAATCGAATCGAAAAAATCGACATACCTAGCCCCAATAAGCCCGGATCGCATCTGCTCTGGCCTTCCTGTATAATCGTTTCTTGTGATGAGTTGCACCAAAGAGCGTATCACATTCAGGAAGAGTTGTACTCATATGAGCAATTTTCCCTCTGTATTCAGATTTTCAGCTAAATGCTACTTTGTAATGCACTTTCTCTAAAAATTCCAACTTACTGGCTTACGACCCGTGCGTTTACTACAGTCAGTTTGTGTTATTTATTTCGTACCTTTAATTTTGTTTATGTTTATGTATTTTCCACAAAATGCTCGTTTCCTCGTGTTGATTTTTGCTCTTTATGTTACTTTGTCTCTAAATTACGTCAAGCACACACTAAATTCAACTAGAATAGTTGGATAATCCCTGTAATGTTTCATGAGGAATTATTAAGTTTTCTGAAATTTATATATTTCAGACCGCTGAGAGTTCTAAAAATAGTTTGAATATAAAAAATAAAGCATTCAAAATGACCTATGGGAATGGAAAGAAAGGGGGGGGGGGTAGAGGAGTTGGAAGAGTTAGCGGTCGGTAACCCGTTAATTCAGAATCAATCAAGAAATTCAATATTTAATATGCATCGATCGGAGTGTGAGACTTGTTTCGTAGGCTCAGATTGAAGGCACTAATTATTATGACGCCTTTACAAACATGAGGCAAGCAAAGGCATCTATGGTCTGGGGAAGACAAAAGCACAAATAATGAAATCGTGAAGAATAGAAAAAGCTTTCACTTGTGTGCTGAAAATTTCGAATAATCACCTAATATGAAAATTCAGATTTTTAGGGGGCAATTTTTAGAAGCCACGTTGGCGCAGAGCCTTCATTTTTTAGGCGCATTTAGCGCGTTGGCGCCTTTGAGTTTCAAATACTGATGTACAGAATCTGAAAATTTGAAGGAAAAATATTCACACATTTCCTGAAAAACGAATGTTTACTAAGGGGTTTTTTTAAATTCTGGCTTTCACGCAAGATTTTCTGCTACCACCAACAAAAGTTGGATGAAACGCTGTTTGAAAACCCATACCCCTTGAAATTCGCCACAGATACTTATACATCATGCAGAAGTAACAATTTTGTCCAACTTTATTGAATAAAAAGTTTGACCATGTAAATCAGGTTTCATGTGTGAAGTTCTTACATTTCATTCTCAAATACCTACTATCTTTATTTGATCTTCAATGAGAAGCTACCACCAGTTTTCTCCTCACTTCACCTCTACTTCTTGTCATTGTATCAGACTTTCCGGAGCCTGCCTTATTACTCCTCTTGAATACTTGAGCTTTCCTTTCAAATTAGTTAATGCACTGTTAGCCGTCTTCCGAATGAGAAATTAGGTACTTACCCACTGACCCGGTGTTGTTCACATCTGTTTGAATTATACGTTGTTAAGCCATGAGTATTCTGGTTTTCAATCAGATGTCAATGCAAGTGAATACTTCGAGTAAGTGCACATAGGCTTCACATACTTTGACCATCTTTATTCTGACTCAGTACTTCTTCACCTTTTCTACCGCAGTACATTTTGAATTCTTGGGCACAGTCACTGTCTGCTCTTACTGTTTACTAAAAGTTTACTTTGTCTAGGAGTCTTGTCATTGTCTGTCTGAAAGTTTACTTTGACAACGCACTTTACCTATAGTGTGATCATAGGTTCAATTCTGTTGAATTCATTGATGTAATGAGGAAGGTACATAGAAAAAACTGACTCACCTGGACATCATACAGTTTGTCTCGCTGACTTGCAAGGGCGCTACCTTTGATCAACATGATTTCACTGTCATAAGACAGGCTGCATAAGTGTTGGCTCTCAAAAGAATTTTCTCCCTTTTGAAACTGCTTCAGTCCGTCAACGGACTGGAAAACCTCCAGGATGTGATAGAGTTTAATCATGGTTAAAAACCTTAAAAACACAGACTACCAGAAACACAAAAACAGTAATAACACGATGCACAAACGTTTGAACATGCTCGAATAATAAGGTTATGCTATTGTTTGGATCCAGTTCGATACAATCGATACGGACTGTGACGTTGACGTAGCACAGACGAGAGGTAAACATAACCTCACTTTTACCGGGTGGCTGCATTTTCGTTTGTTTCATCATTTCATGACTACTGATAACAGTTTTTCTCTCTTTAAAATTTGATTGCATATCTCGGCATATCTTGATTTTATCTAAATGATGTGTTGTCCGTTCACAGCTTGTGTTTAATACCGTTTAATGAATGTATATCGCCCTCTCTTTTCGTTTATAAGTGTTCTCTTGCGGTGCACAACACTCAATAATTATGAACGATAGGAAGCTAACAATCTTGTATGGAAGTCAAACCGGGACTGCTCAGGACATTGCTGAAAGGATATGGAGGGAAAGCAAACAGTACGTTATTTAGTTCATTATACATCTTATTCTTACCCAATTTAATGTTTGAGGATTACATCGTTTACAGTTAGGTTTCGTCACTGAGCGAGTGACACCCTCTCGAACATTTTGTCAAATTGAAACAAGCTGTTTGATAGGCCTAACAGCATACTATCATAAGATTAATTTATCTTTGAAACTGTCTAAATCATATATAATTCTTATGAGGAACTTACATACTAAGAATATTATACAAGAATGGAGTAAGGTAAGAAAGTAACCTTAGATTTAGTCAAATTATAGTTTATCACTCATCTCAGTAATAACAATTATTTTAACATATGTGGGCCCTTAAGAAACATAAATTCGAAAATGATTACATAGAGCTTGAGCCCTGTAAGTTGGTTGCCATGTAGAGCCAGGCTGAGGATCTGCCATCTCAGTTGTCATTTTTACGTTCTATGGTATGACGAAAACTTCAGATTGTCTGTTGCATTTTAAAAGTTAGTCAAACATTAAGGTATGAGCTAAATTATGTTCAAGGTCAGAAGAGGCTTTGATCAGAGTGGAAAAGGAGAGCAATATTATTTATGAACCCTGAAGATGTGATTTTAGGTTTCAGGGCTAAAGACAGAAACATCTTCAAAACAGCCTTAAGATCATTCAGATTTACCTACATTTTCTCTGCTCAGAAAAGAAATAAAATAACATATAATTCTGCACATGTTGTATCTGCTACGTTCGAGAAATCATGTAAAGAGAATACTACATGAATACAAATGATGTCAAGAAATTTGTATTAAAATAAAATTGAACATTATGCAAGAGTCTTATCAAATTTGTTTCTAATTCTTTCAGCTACCATTTTAAAGGCCCTGTGAAACCACTTGATGAATTTGATGTGCGAAATCTAATTTATGAGCCAGTATTAATTTTTGTTTGCGCAACAACTGGTCAGGGAGAAGAGCCAGACAACATGAAAAAATTTTGGAAATTTCTACTGAGGAGAAATTTGCCATCAACATCCTTGATAAATTCAAAGTAAGTTCTAGTTCTGTTTTCCTTCTGTAATAGGACTCATGATTAGGGTAGGAAAATACCTGCTTTTTGCCAATCTATTTGAGGGAGCATCACAGGTTAAAAACTGGACACCATGACGCTCATTGATCGTCACTCTACAAACATCATCATCGAAAATCTGATCATGATCTGAATTTCGTCTGATAAGAGGTCTTATCAAGTTCCGTGTAGCATGTTTCTGAACCTTTTGTGGGTTTAAATGACTTTCTATGCTTAACACACAGTTCCAAAGTGAAGTAAAAATATCGATGAGAATTCAGGTATATTCTGACAGCAAAACCCTGCATTGTAGTCCACATAGTGGCAAGTGAGGGATTGAGTCTGTTGAAGGGCTTGTCCTACTTTGATTGTTTGTGGAAGACAATACACTTGTAGCTTAACCTTGGTCTCAAGTCAGTCACTGTTGCCACATTTTTTGGTACTTACCTACTGACTGCCTGACCATTACTTTTTCTATATGCTCCGATAGCTTAAGTGTTTTATTAATTTTTCTTTTTCAGGTTTGCTATTCTAGGTCTTGGTGATTCTTCTTATGCTAAATTCAACTTTGTTGCAAAAAAACTGAGCAAGAGACTCGAACAGTTAGGCGCTGAGCGAATATGCTCTGTTGGATTGGCTGATGATCAGCACGACCTTGGAGCTGATGCAGTTGTTGATCCTTGGATAAAAAATTTATGGGAAACTCTATTGAATATTTATCCTTTACCCTCTGGTGTTCAGCCTTCAAAAAGCGATTCACTTCCTCTCTCAAGGTAAACAAGTTTTAACAATGGACCTTCAGACAATGGGAGTATTCTTATACCCGTTCCTCTCTCAAAAATTCATGCAAAACATGATTCGCGTAATAAAATTTACTGGAATTAACTCCTTCGATATTTAAAGTTTATCAATGGTGTGATTTCAAACCTCCTGGTCATAGAAATACAAAAGTCTGCATGAGTCACATCACGCACCAAACATTACTGAAGCAGTTTCTCCTGTGTGCAAATATGGCAACCTCAATTTCATCACTATGGCTCACCTGCTTCATGCTGTTAACACATTGAATAGCATAAGGTACGGTAGGAATATTGCTCAATTAAGACGTCAGCTAAAACCGTTGCACAAATTGATTCAAGTAAACTATTGTTTTTCTTGTGAGCAAAAAATTCAAATTTCTCATAACCAATTTGAATTAAAAATGTCAATATTTTAGTCAGGAGCTGATTTAAGTTATTTTCGTTGGGCAAAGTGTGTTTCATGTGAAATATAGCAGGATCATGTAGCAGATTGCCTAAATTCAACCATTGCCTAGTGGTCTATTACAATCTATATGGTCAGAAAAATAAATCTCATAATCTTATAACTCATGATGCAACAGTTAGAGAAAATGTTTGTCTCAGTTCTGTTTCATATATTTAAGGTGGAACGTGAAGATACAAAATAATGTCACCTCAAGCAGTGGTGAAGAAGGTGCAGAATTGTCTCATATCAATATGTTTGTAAGCCAAGAACCAAGAATAGCAGAGTGCATCAGCAATAAACGAATGACATCAGAAACCCATTTCCAGGTATCTACCCAGCTCGTTAAAAATGCATTATAATGCTTTTCTTTTGTCTTGAGAAATGTCTTTTTGTGATTCACTCACTCAAAATCAAATTTAATTAAATCATCTCTCATTAGGAGGTACGATCCAAAACCAGAACCAAGAACCTGGAGAACTATGATTTTTCTTTTTGGATGCGGAATCAGAACCAGATATATAATTTGCAAGGAACCTGAGAGGGAATTATGTGACCTGGAGTCAACATGAAGAAAGATTTAAAAAGGTTTCATGACAGCTAAATGTTCTTAAACTGTAAAATATTTTCTGTGAAGAAAGTGAAGTTGCTATGAATTTGTATGTGCCATACGTTCACAAACCAAGCATGAATTGTTGAATTTGACTGTAAAACTTAGGAAGCTTACTATTTCTACCATGACAATCTATTTTTCCTTTTTATATGTCTATTCATCAAGGGTCAGTGGAGACATGTTATTTCTGTCATAAGAAGAAGATAAAAGAAAGAGAGGAAAAAAGAAAAAAAACCCCATCAGTATCTCTACTCAGTCTTAGGAAATTCTTATTGGATATTGTAGAAATATCTGCTTTACTGCCAGCTCTTACAGAGGCAAGAGCATTCCCTATTTATTTCGAGCACTATATCATCAAATTAGCATGTCTTTTTGCTGTGAATCTATTTTTTTCTTTTCTGTCCACGTCTTAGGATGTTCGCCTAATAAAGTTATCCAGTGATCTTGACTACAAACCAGGAGATATTGCAGTTGTTTATCCTCAAAATAACCCAGATGCTGTTCATACTCTGTTTACAATCCTATCAGCAGAGGACAATACTTATCGTTATCACAAAAATGATAGTGTGACAGTATCCCCGCAAGATCCTGATATGCCTGTTCCTCAAGAACTCTCTAAGCCCGTTACTCTTTTAGACTGCGCCACTAATTATTGGGATTTAAATGTAATTTCACTCTATATTTTTATTGTAACTGGAGTATCACATTTTCGTGAAGATCTAAAGATTATAAATTCACGTTTTTGCATACTTTGATCGACATACACATTTTGCAGAGTCCAGCTCTAATTTCCTTGGCCAGGATAAACCTTTTGAGGAAAATGATATGTTACTCTGCAAAACATGTTTACGAATTAATTTTTCGATTCTGATCCATGCAAATAAATGCTTTTGATAATCTTTAAATTGTCACAAAAGTGGTCAAGTCTTGCTTTGTGATTCAAAATTCTGCAATTTCAGCCCATGAAGTAAACTTAATAAACACAAAAACAGGAGAGAAAGCAAAACTCCTCAGGTAAAGAAAATTGTTTCAAGTTGATGTACAGCTGATTCACGAAGGTGAACGTAAGAAAAATGAGCTCCATTTTTCAGGAATGAAAGCATAAATTGGTGTGTCATGTGTTAATTTTTTCTGTACATGCACAAAAACTGCTGGATCCATGTTTGTAATTTTTACTTTAAGCGAAAAAGTTGTGAAAAAATATTTGGCCTCAGGAATATTTAAAAAATTTAACAAGAATCAGGAGCTAATATTTTATGAGACAGAACGATTTTAATTCCCCTTACAACAAAAATACCAATGAATGCTCCCTCACATGCATGAATATTTAAATTCAATTAGTTTTATTTCAGGTCTTTTAAATTTATTTTGCATTTACATGACTGAAGTGATTTTATTGTCAGTATTTTTGCTGTTTTCAGGCTATTCCTCGTCGATACACTTTCCAGTTGCTTTCTCATTTCACCACCAATGAACTAGAAAAAGAAAAACTTGTCGAATTTACCACCGCTGAAGGATTAGAAGAGCTATACAACTACTGCAACAGACCAAGGCGAAATATTTTGGAAGTGCTTGCTGACTTCCCGTATGCTGCAAAAAATATTCCTGCCCATTATTTATTTGAAGTCCTTCCTAGAATTAAACCAAGATATTTTTCTATCGCATCATCTAGAATAGTAAGTAATATCTGCTTATAAGGAGAGGTTCCCCATTGTACTTACATCCCTACAAGCGTTTCAATTAGAGTACCTGTATAGGGAGAGTAGCGACAGATCGGTTCATGGAGGGCTTAGGGCCCAAAAGTGCAGCCACCCTTCTGAGCAACTTCTAACACACAAAATTTCACCGCCAGCCTACAGATTTCAATTCTAACCAAGATGGCTAAGAATGTACATAAATGAGCGTTCTTTCGCAAAAATAAGTAAATTTATGCAAAAAGTAAGCCAAATACATGCTTTCTAAACGACGGTTCGTAACAATTGTATTTGTAAATCGCTCTGGACATTCGAAATTCATAGGTTGGCTGCCCTTTTGGGCCCTAACTTTATTCGCGGAGGCATCGGTGAAGGCCTGATGGACTTTCGGAGTTTCAGATCTGTCGCTACTCTCCCTATACAGGTACTCTAGTTTCAATGAGAGCCCTTATTGCAGGCTCAAACTTTTTATTGGTTCATGGGAGCATTTTTATGGTACAAGTGCTATAGAACAATGAGTCTTGAATGTTTAAAATGTCCAGTAAAAGTCCTCATTTGTAAAAAATTGAAGGGACAAACATTATTAGGAAGTATACCAAAGTAATTTCAATTTTTATACACTTTGTTCAAAAGCCAATATTTGCCATTCTTAATTTTAGGGGGGGGGGGGATATTAGATGATAAATCAGGGTGGCTCATCAACTCCAAGTTCACTCAGATATATTTCTGTTTTTAACTGTTTGACAGTACCATCCCAACGAGATCCACTTGATGGTTGCTGTTGTCGTGTACAAAACAAAACTGGTGAAACCGAGAAGTGGGCTAGCCTCAAGATGGTTGGCTGCTATTGAACCTGGTCAAAAACTACCTGTCAGTATTCTTAAAGGCTCGTTGACCTTCCCGCAAGATCCTGTAAGTAAATTCTCTGGCTCTCTGTAAAATGTCCAGTCAGAGGTTTTGTTCTCCTCTTCCTCCTCTTCTACAAAAGATTAGGGCGTAGCCCTGTTTGTCAGACCATCCAGTATTGAGCACAATGAATTATATAAATATCAAAAATCACTAAAAATAAAGGACCCGTCAAATCAATAAAAACAGCTGTAAAATTTTCAATCATCCTCAGGAGGAGAGAGCTTGCCTTGTGCCCATCTCATAGGCAGTTGTCCCGGTAATCTTTTTCCCAAGGGTTGTCCAGTCACATAAATTTTCTGTAGTCTCTCTTCATCCATTCGGTCAACAAGCTCCGACCACATCCTTCTCCTCACACAGGTCCACTAGGCTACATCCTGCACCCTAAGGACATCCCTGATGGACTCGCTGGTCTGCCGATCCCAAAATGTAAAATCTGCTATCTTTCTTAGAACTTTCATCTCAACTTTGCAAAATTGTTGTTTTGTGTGCTTTGTTTCAACCCTAGTTTCTGCGGCAAATGTAAACACCGGCCTTACAAGTTGTTAATCCGTTACTTCGCATTTAATTGGTAGAGGATAACCTGAGAATGTTTAATAATTTATAGAAAATGAAACTTCAAGAACCAAGCGTAACACACATGAAAAAAGGAAAACTGATAATTTTGAAGTTGGTGCGTCAATGTAAAATGAATCTTGTGCATGTGTATTTTCCTAGATTTTTTGTGATTGTTTTTATTTCTCGACCTCTTATCTATCCTCAGATTTCTGAGACTTATGATACGAAATTTCTGGGGATTCAAAAATTAGGACTAGCTATGAATGAGTAGTTTTGAGGATCATTTTGACCTGAAAAAAAAAAGTTTATTGATTAACCTCTTTAACATATTGAACATTATTGAAAATTACAATTTTGATATTATTGAAAACCTCTTCAACATTATTGAAAACCTCTTCAACATTATTGAAAATAATTAGATAATCTGATGGAGTGAATTTGAAAAATTTTAGTTTGTGATAATGCAAGTTTTTTTTGTTACTTTTCTTTAGAAAATTCCAGTCATCATGGTGGGTCCAGGGACTGGCGTGGCTCCATTCAGAAGTTATGTTTATGAAAGAGTTGGACTTGGAACAGCATCTGCAAAAGTTTTACATCTTTACTTTGGATGTCGCTACCACGATCAGGATTTTCACTGCAAAGAAGAATGGGATCAACTAATTAAAGCCAATGAGTTGACCATGCATACTGCTTTCTCCAGAGATCAGTCAGAGAAAATGTAGGTAGCTACATATATGTATCTAGCCGTGCTTGCAAGAAATGACATAAATGAATATTTCATCATAAGCAACAGGGTAGTAGAATATCACTGGATCCACTCTATTCTGAAGCAAAATCAGAACCTGAAAAACCAAAACTTGGGATTGAAATAATTGTAATAAACTAAATAATAGAAAAAGATCACAGAAAGATGATCAGCTAAAAAAAAAGAAGCAAGGACAGCTATTCATCCAGGAGAGTGTCAGAATTTACGCCATTTAGCAACTCATCAACTCGGTAGAACGCACTTTTGAGGAGATGTTGCAAAAGCTTATTTAGAAAAGAATTTACACGCCCATCTCGAAAGATAGATTTTAATTCCCAAGGAAGGGCATCAAACATTTGGATTGATGAGTACTTTACACTGCCTGTTGTTGCAGTTAGCCTGACCTTTGAATTTTTTATGTTTTTGTATCTGCTATTATACAAGTGGGCAGGAAAGAGATCTTCAGGATTAATCAAATTGGTAAAGATGGAAAATTTAATACACTCGAAAATGTAGGTAGATGGAAGGGTAAGTAGCTCCTTCTGGATGAATAGCTGGCGGTAGGGGGATTTTAAGGTCTATTAAACATTATTCTGACTATAAATGACTTTTGGAAACACCCAAAATTTTAAAGGTACCTGCCTGGAAGGAGCAAGAACCTTAGGGGCTACAAGGTTAGTGAAGGATTTTGGATCACTCAATACATTTAAATACAAATTCATATTTAAAATCGATTTCAATCGTCCCATTTACCATTGCAGATACGTTCAGGACCTCATCAAAAGAAATGGAGAATCAGTTGCAAAACTGATAGCTGATGGTGCGCATATTTATATTGCTGGCAATGCAAAGGATATGCCTACAGCAGTGAAGGAAGCATTCGCCAACAGTGTGGCAACACATAAGAAAGAATCGTTGGAAGAAGCAATGAAGAGTATCGAAGCTATGGAACAAAACGGAAAATATCAGACAGAAACATGGACTTGATGCCAGTTTTCTAGGAGCCTTTTCAATATTTGGTGGCTCACAGTCTACTTCAACGATCAGATTATTTTCAGCTCAGCAGTAGCTAAAATTTTTTGTGTGTTCCTATACTAATTCTGAATATAATTGGATGTATATCTTCTACTTCACTTAACAGCATTATGTGTTTGAGAAATTTTCGTCTTCTTGAAAGTTTACATGATTTTTGTCGTGCTAAAATTAACCTCATAGGAAAATACTTTTCGGTCCTATAAATTTGGTGATTGTGGTTAGTGGGGNGGGGGGGGGGGGGGGGGGTTGTAGACTCTCATTGTCAGTTATGAAAAATAATTTTAAAGAACTTCAAAAACCCTAGGAAATTGATGAGTTTAAAATTGTCCTATTCTCATCTCCTAAAGTTTAAAATATCTCCCTATTACCATCCTGTAACTCCCTGTAAGGGATCACAGAGTTTCGCAGAGATCAAATGGTGTCTCTTTCGAATGGTGAGAATAAGCAAAATATAACAATGGTAACAGGAATGCACCCTTTTTAATCTTGTCAGGTCGTTGGTTCCATCACCTAGTATTTTTCAGTTTTTTTATGTTATTACTTCCATATCAAGGAGGTTCTTTAACTTCAAGTATCAGAACTGTTAATCTGGTGGTATAAACATTTGTACCCTATAAAGACTTTTTTTGTAGTAATTTCTTCCTCATCGAATTGCTGTATCTTAATGTTTGTAGCAAGAAAAAAAAGGAAAAAAAAAGATGTAGATAAAAAAGGAAGAAAAAAATAACCCTGAGTGGTGAAACTTTTTTTTTTTTTTTTTTTTCTTTTTAAGGAAACTGCAATATTTTCAACTTAAATTTGGTCCAACAGGTGATCTTCTGTGCCGAATATACCTTTCAGCTGTGGAGTACTTAGATTAAAGAACATGAAATTGTGTTACTCTCTATTTTTTTCTATGCCTCGGAGCGTGATAGACATCATAAATAATATTGAATGTTTGTAAATCATATCTTTTGAATCCAAAGCAGTGCTCGAAACCTTTAGCATTTAGCTTTTTTTCCAAAAATTTCACAGAAAATTTTGATTGCTTTTTCTACCAAAATATGAAAAAATTTTTGAAACCCAGCAGTCTTAATAATGACCCAAAAATTCCTCATTGATGTATTGATTGTTTTAAATGGAGGAGTCTTTTGCAATAACTCTTGGTATTTACCAAAAATATCCAAAAATGGCAAAGCAAAGCAGAGGTACAGATGACCTATTTGTAAACATTTGATAAGTTAAAACCAAAAATTAAGCTCTTTTCCCTCCAGGTATGGTAACTTCAAAGTGTAACATTTGAAGTAGCCATTCTGCCGGGTACAGCTTCGGATTTTGCCTTTGACGGATACAGTTGTTAACTAGTTTTAATGTTTCACATCACTGGCATTTTTGTTTTATTTATTGTTACTTACCTTCCCATTTCTTTTCAATAAAACTGTCTCTGAAATGATTAATGCATGGTACATTTTATTTCTTACTTAAATTCTCAAAGTAGTACTTTATTCAATTATGGGTCTGTCATAATGAAGCAAACCTTCAATAATTCAAGCACACACATACTTAAAGACATGCATTTTTAAACTTTTATTATCATCTCTGCAAGCAAAGATTTTAAATTTTTCACCCCGAATCAGTGTTGGGAACATTTCATGAGGGTGGAAAAGTAGAAAAGCTAATTGTCGTCTACCATAAGGATTTTTTGAATACTTAAAATTTTTTTGCCTGGATCCTTGAGCTCCGAATAATCAAATGTATTGAACTGCATATTTATTTAAAAACCCCGCTATAGCAAACACCAACTGTTGAACTCAAACTCGAAATTTATACTTCCTCCATTGGATTCGTCAAAGCGTATTTCTCACTGTTAAGTTTTTGAATATTACTTTTTTGTCCGAAAAGTCGTAATTTATTGGCAAAGATAATTTTATGTGAGTATGAAGCTGTAAAGAAAAATACTTTTTTCTTTTCTAGCCACTTAGCTTTTAGATCCCTATTCTAGCCTAGTGGGAAGTAACGATTTTATGTTGGTGAAAGTGTGGCGCCATGCAAATTCAAAAAATGTTTACTTTGGGGTTGGAGGTTATAATCTCCAATAATATCACCTCGAGTATGGTTAGTTTTGTTCTTGTTCAAAGACAAGTTTTGTTACTTTCATTTCATTGTTAGCCCCCTTCTTTTTTTCTCAAAAAAATTCCATGTTCGGAAAATCGGCTCGTTTTTCCTAAGTATCGTCAAGGTTCATGTACTGACTGAAGCTCAAAATTCTTATCTATCTCGGGATCATGTGTCAGTATTTTTTACTCAGGTAGTTTTCATTTGTTCATCCTTGTTATCATCCCGGGTTCTTCGTACTTGAAGAGTTTGCTTCATCCTGAAAAATGTTTGAGCTCGACGACGATTTCGACTTTGATGATGAAGTGAGTATTCCTATCTTTTTAACAAGCTGTCAAATCTTTTTCCAGCGGTAATTTATAATCTTCAACGTTCAGTTCTCTGCTCTCAAGTGATCATGCGCAGATTGCTCATGGAAGCACCCAGGTGCCATGTTAGAGGAACATCTCTACAGATTCGAAATTTTGATGGTTGATTGAATTCAATGCTGATATAAATTTTTAAGGTGCAATATGCTTGGTATTTGGAAGGTACGCTTGTGAACAGAGTCTTAAATATTCGCTAAGGCTGAGTATGACAGAAAAACCTTAATATATATTGAGTTGATTTGCACACAATACAAAATCAAAATCTCTCTGCAGAATAAAAGAGCTGTTTGTAATAAGTATTGACACTAGGAGCCACTAAGATCCATCCAGATAAAAGAAATCGTCCTTTACCTGAAGAGTTCCAAGTTCCAAGTTAAATGTTAAATATGAATGGAAGGAATGTTTTGTAGATTTGCTTGCACAAGTAGTTCTCTCGTGATGTTTCTCATTAATCGTCAATCACCAATGATATTTTTTAAAATTATCAGGATTTCGACAAGATTTGCACTGGGAAAACTCTGGATAAGAGCGCTAAATTCACATCTGTAGAAACGGATGAGAAGAAAAAGGAGAAGCCGCCAGAGCTTCAATCCGCGTTTGACCAATACGCTGAGGATGATGATGAGTTACTTCTTTCAGTTATAGAACCGGACCCTTTGCCTGAACGAAATGGTAGGTCACCCAAGTGTATTCATTTTATACGTCACTCTTTTTAAGGTGTACTTGTATTGTCATGAGACTAAAGAATTCATGTACCAAATTTGACAAAAAAATTCAACGTAATAAAGGCAGGATTTTTCCTCTGAAAAAAACCGTGCCTTTAATACGTTGAATTTCTTTATCAAATTTGGTCCATGAATTCTTGAGTCTCATGACAACAGAAGTGAGATCCCGAAATTCGATAAAAATGACAAGTAGCTGAAATCATGGAACGCATTGATGCGATATATCGCACGTCGCTCTGACACAATAAATGGCAACCGTCAAATCACCCTGAGCATGAAGGTGTGCCTTGCGAAATGAAGCTGTAAAAATCTCGAAAGAAAATCAGTGTTGCTGAGTGCTTAAAGATGTTGTCTGTCTCTTTTTCTATACGATTTAAAGACCCATTTTTCATTTTACAAGAAGATTTGTTTGTGGGTTCTTTGTAAGCTTTTGGAAGATATCAGACTTTCCTAAGTAGCCACAGCCACAAGCCCACCGCTGCTCAAGTAAGATTTTAAGCTGCTTAAGCTATTTATTAACCATGCAGCTTTTGTATGCACCTATGCTTTTGCAAAAATATTCATTACAATATTAAGCTGGTATTAAAGACAGTTTGATGTGGTCGACATTCCATTATTATTATTTACCTCATCATGATGTTTATGCAACTTAGTTGTCGTTTGCCACAAAAATATTGTTCCCAAAAGTGATTAGTTAGTAAGCAAATGAAAATTTTCTGAAATTATTCTCCGTATAAAGATAAAAATTTGAAGAGATCTAATATGAAAATTAAAAACAAAAAAATCAATTTAAATTTGGGCTTGCTGAAATTTCCGTCTCACCTGTGAAAGAATAATGTACGTTATCTTTTTCATGCAATATTTTTTTTTTCAATCGCTTTTTTTCCCTAGACACTAGAGGAAAGCCTGAAAGGAAATTGGAACTTGTTGACTCAGAGAAATTAGATCTAACAATTCAGCCGCCATCCTCCAAAAACAGTTCATCCTCTAAAAAATCTAAATTACAGTCTCCTCTGAATGTATCAGGAAATTCCTCAATTTTCTCGCCAAGCTCACGACTAGATTCTTCTGCATCAGTCACTCCCATCGTTTGCCAGAGAAAATTTCCTGGCCCAGCTGGATTGCTTCCAAAGCGAGTAAGTATCGTAAACTAATATATCATAATCATTAAGTGCTTGCATACATTTAAATTCAGTTTTACCCCATTCTGAAAATGATACTCGACACAATACGCAGTAACAAAATTAATGAGAAAAAAATATTTGCTTTTAGATGACTTTCATACACATATACTTCTATTTTGAAACTATGTCAGAAATCAAAATTTCCATTTCAAGATGCTCTTGGCACAATGAAAATTTCAGGATGAGTTTTCGCTGAAGAGTTGCCCATTTTTTCTGAATTTGTCAACTTGGCAGCGTTAGCAAAATTATGTGATAATAGTGGGTGAAGAGGAAGTGTCAAAAATATCAAAAATCCTGTTGGCGTCAGGTACATGTATGTTTCGGCCAGTGCCGGTAACCGCCCAAAGTCAGGCCTATGACGACTTAGGCTAAAACGACCGGAGAGGATATCGAGGATATGAGCTTTAATCAGAATTTCCCCAGGAAATTTCTATAAATTCTTAAGCAAAAAAAAAATAAATAAAAAAAATAAAAAATGTGTTTTTTCCTTCCAGACTTCGAATGCTTTTAAAAGCCCTCACTCATCCATGCTCACGGACTTCAATTTTGACGACTGCTCTTCGTTACAGGTATGACTTTGTTTACTTCCTTATTTCTCTGTCAGAAATAAAAATATGAATGTAATTGTATGCTTATTCTTGAATAATTGCTGAATGTCCTCGAAGAATTTGTATTATGATTGCATTCTCTTACTTTTATTATTTTTTTAAGTAATTATCTTGCAAACTAGATGGTCAAAAATGCCACAAATATCTTCCGCATTGAAGCTAAAAACATGAGAGGCAACTTCTTTGTTCAGGAACTTCTTCGTTCCCAGCAACCTCTGTTTTTTACAAAAAATTGAGAAATTCCTGTGTATTTCGCTGACGTATCGGCAATTGAACACGTGGTTACGAGAGGTGGTCTCGATAAAATTGAGTTTTCTGGAGCACCCATACACTGATTTTCAAAATCTTATATTTATTTTGAAACTAAGAGTATGCCTTACTGATGCCTCTTTACGACTAAATATGATGTATCTTTTTTTGTTCAGAAGATTTAAAACAGGGAAACTTAATTTCTGTAGCCTCCGCTCTTATTGCAGATTTACAGTTGCCCTTTTATTGATCATTTTCCAGAAAACTGTTTGTTCTCAAAACTCGAACGCTAGTTTTGAGGCCGGTCCATGGCAGTACGTGATGAGGGACTTCGCAGCAATCGAAAAAGAAGACTGCATGTTAAATAATTTCACTGTAGCTTGGGTCAAGAGGAAAGCCATTGCCCGACAATTCGTAAAAAATCGAGTGCCTTTCCTTGCTGCCTTACTCACGAGCTTGGATTGCTCAGCCTTGGACAAAGTATCTGGCCCCGTCGTGTTCCTCAAAGATCCTACAGGTATGACACGGTGGAATACATTTTTGTTGATCTATTTTGTTCACATTATGTGCATTGGCGACAAGTCGAGGCAAATCTTCAAGAGAAAATTTCAATTTCATTTGAATTTGCCTACAGATTGATGACTTTTTATCATCCAGATAAATAAAAGGTAACAATTTATAGTGTTGAAGTGGAAAATTTCTAAGATGAAAGCATTTTTTTATACACATTTTTACCTGTTGATCGACGGGCTTCTTACCTGCTTTGCATCACTGATTGATGTCAGCTCAGGCTATGAGTCTCTCACAATAGAGAATTTGCATGCAGTTTTTTTATCGCTTCATTCAAAAGTGCTCAAGGAGCTGATTTAAAAGTATTTTTTATAATTTTTTTCCAAAATGGGAAATAGTGTAAAAATAATATTTAAAAGTGAGAAAATGCACCGCCTAGTGATCTGGCGGCATTTCCCATTTAAACACTTGTATTTTAGCAGATTAGATAATTTTGTCTTATCTTCTCCAATAATTATTCAATTCATTCATCAAATTTTATACACCTTCAAATTCTCTATTATAGCAAGGGTGAAACGAGGGAAATGTGTATCCCGGTTTGTCGTGTTGCAGACCTCCTATCATACTTCATTCTCTTTATTGATTCGGTGATTTTTCTAAATTGTGTGAAGAATATTTTGTGAAAATGTTAAGCCAATGTTGGTTTGGTCTCTTTTTATAAAATAAATAAATTAGGAGTGGAGATTTTGAAACTGCAACTGAGGTTTGCAATTTTGCAGTTTCAGTGTCAACTTGTAGATGCTTTTGCTTGTTTCTCAAACAATAATTTTTCAATTTCAGGAGAAATCCAAGGGACATTGCATAGAGAAGCCTGGGATAAATTTGGTCCGTACCTGGTGATTGGAAGTGTTCTTGTACTACGACAAGTCGCAGTTTATACTGCAGGCACTTCAACCCGACAACAGTATCTGAATATTACTGCTAAAAGTATTGCAATCATCTATCCTCCAGGTACTAAACACTTTACACACACACTAGAGACTGAGTAGAAACAAAAATTGGGGTAGCAACAGCTGAGAGACTTGTGGCAGTGCTCATCTGACAAGCACTGCCTCCTCTTTCAGCACTAAAATATAATTGGAGTGAAGCATTTTGCGTGTTATTAATAGATAGAATTAATAAAAGAAAAGTCCCCCCTTTACTTGGTTGTAGTTTTATTCTTTGTTCAGTGTACGTACATTTTGGACTATGAGTCCATCTTCAGCACATCCGTGAAGTTTTTGACATATGTGCTGTAGGTGGACTCGTAGTCGAAAATGTACCTACTTTGAACAAAAAATAAAACCACAAGCGAGCAAAGGCAAGACTTCTCTTTTATTAATTCTAACTAAAATATACTGTTAAACACTTTTTATTCGTAAGATATAATCTCACCCAGCAGTTCACATAAAAAATATGCAGTAGTCATCAAAAAAATATATGTCAATACAAATTCTGGCATATGTGACTTCATTTTGTAATTAGAAACTACAACTTTTGGCTCATCTGTAAAAACATCAATGTGCATAAAGAAACTAATGGTACATACATTGTTTCTAAATTGAGACAGATATTTTAGTTCCGAATTGCAACATGTAGTCCAATCGAAAAACATTAAACTATGCAGAGCTGTTTCACAGTAATTGTTACATATGTACCCTCTATACCTAGTGAACCCTGTTCTAAAATCAAGCCTTATAATGCTAGTAAAGCACTGACTTTTACAAGCAAAGTCTACTTCAGATACAAGCTGCTTATTCCAATTTTCTAAGCAATATGCTCATTTTTTATTTTCAGATTCTAGTCCCAAATTAGAAGTGTATCCGGTTTCATTAGAAGAAGTAATGCATAGAATAGGAGAGTGGAAAATAATAACACAACAGAGCATTAACGATTCACTTTCTGTCAGAAACCCTGTTCAGCCTATCGCTCCACGATCTCTGTTTTCTACTTCTAGTGCACAGCAATCTAAATCAGCTCCATGCCTGGGTGAGCCTGCGTCAAAACGCCCTTGTTACGAATCCAACAATGTTCGTAGGAATAACGTTCCCAGTCCATTTCCCATAGGTTTGACAAAAAGTTCCAGCCAGGGTTCAAGTTTGACAAATATCAGTCCTAGAATTAGTCTCAATAGTTCTCGACCACCTCAAAAATCAAATTCTATCCCTAAAGTACAGAATAGCTTCCAAAGTAGTACTTGCAAATCAAGTAGTAATTCCAAAATGTCTGCTGGTGAAAGCGCAAATGTTAAACCACAAACAAATACACTTCATTGTTTGGACAAAACAAAAGAAAATAAAGTTCCTGAAAGCAAGACATGTATCAACAGTCTTCCAAAAATGAACGATGATGATCTTTCTGTGCTGTCAAGTGTTCTAGAAGGTATTGATGCTGATATGTTTGATGATTTCTGAGGTAGCTTTTTAGTTTTTGTTAATTTTTGTTAAATTTCTTCGTGTTCTGTCCTGTTCAAAGTGTACATCTCATTTTTGTTAATTCCCCCGTGCCGAAGTTGAATTTGTAAAATTGTATCACTCTAGAATAAATTTACTATTCAAAATCAAAGCGTACCCCTAATAAATATTTCATTTGGATTGCAATTTTATCAATTATGTACTCCAAAGTTATAATAAAATTAAAATATCAATGAAACCTTGCACGGAAACAAATATTGGCATAATAGCAAGCCGAGAGCTGTGCATAAATGATTTCAGGAACATGGAGGAGGGGCCGGCAAACGATGCTTGATATGGACTATTTTGCAATTGGCAACTACAATTTCTAGCCCAGTTTAAGAACCATGTATGTAGTTTCCCTATGCTAATGAGCGCTTTTACAGATGACCCAAAAATTGTTGTTCCTAATTGTAAAATTAAGTCCATATGTACCTGCAAGGGGACATCAAGTCCATTTTGTTATCAGGCTAAGATTAGCGTGCCTAAATTAAAGTGCTCTTTTTCTAGAAAATTGTGATTGAAAATAGCGTAGAGAGCTGTTTTTTTGTAAGTAATATGAAGGGTGAGTCCCAAATCTGACCTAATTTTGAGGGGGACTCAACACTGTCCGATATGAAGCTCACAGGGGGAGGTGGATCAACAAAATTAATAAAAAACCTGACATTACAAATGGAGGGTCCATAATTTGTCAATGATAATTGAGGCACCTCATATCAAAACCCGTAATCTCCATTGCTATGTCTTAAAATTTTGGAGATGTTTTATAATTTTTTAAAGATTAATCAATAAGATCTCTTGCATAAAATACTGTCATAATTTTTACATGGAAAATTCTTGAGAGAGAACGCAGAAAGAAACTCACCTGCTCTCTTCGTACTAGGTAATTGAAAATCATAGCCAAATTTTTGACACTGTAATGGAGATTGCAGGTTTAGATACTTGGCGTCCAAGTTCTGCATTTATTGCCACTGAAAATAACCAGGGATGTAACAATTTACTGAGGCTGGAGAAATCCTCAGCAGAGAGACCGCAGTTTTAAGATTTATTCGATTAATAATGTTCTCTTGATCAACGTATGGTACTTCATGCAGGACACTGAATTTTGTGAATACTGAATTACGTTAATAATTTTACCCTCTCTGAAGATGGTCGCCTACAATGGACGATTTTTGCCAGATCACCATACACACTCGGGTGAGTGATTCTTAAAAATCTGTGAAAAGTCTCAAACGAGAGAGTCATTAAATGGATTGGATTTTGCAAAAAGGAACCAAGAGTATTCCAATGTTGCTAAGATTGGGCAACTTTTTTTACCTTGCAAATATAAACGGATTATCTACACAAGTTATATCTGTTCTCCTGAGTAATTATGTATTCAAGACAAAAATCACCTTTATTTTAATTTTTTCCATGATTTCAGTAATTTTATCCGAAGAATGTAAGTTTCACAATCATAGCAACACTGGAATGCTCTTGGTTCCTTTTTGCAAATGCAATCCAAATGTATATCCTCTATCAAACAAAAATGTCCGTTAAAGAACAGTTCTTTATCTCAAAGACATTCATGTGGGATATCCTAGAGGCAAGGTCGAGAAGTGTATTTCTTTCAAAGCCGACATAAAGTTTTAAGATTCCAGTTTACGAGTGATGGCTTGAAGGAAATTAGATGGTACACAAGATTGTCTGAGTTTATAATAATTTTGTCCGTATTACTTATTATTTGGCTGGGACCAGCATAGTTACTATTTATTCCTAAGCTTTAAAAGGGAGGTATTGAGAAGGATGAGGAATGACAAATACGGTACAAATTCTTAGGAGTATAGTTTGATTTTTTTTTGTTTTGGTTCATTTAGTTCTATGATTTTAATAGAGGGTACTCTTCGTTTCATCCTTTCTTCATGCTGCAACACAGGATCCTTTGAAATTGTCGGCTTGAATGGGATCAAAATTGGTTAGAGTCGAATGAAACAGCGGCAATCCTTTTAAAACTTGTGAATTAGATTCCGTTATCTGTAAAATTCGAGAATGCTGTTACTGAATATTGATAAAGAATGAAAGAACATTTGTAATGTTTTAATGATATGCAGAAGTTTGTGTTATTGATATTTTACTTAAGACCCAAATTAGTGTCAACACATGAAGGCATTACTTACTTGCATCTGCAGAACAATCACTCTTAATATGAGCAAGGCAAGAGATGTATTGATGCTGTGATTCCAAGCTTATAATATAGCTTCTGAGATGATCTTAGTCTTGGAATAAATCTTCTACCATTCCTAATTGATTGAGACCAAACTCTTCTCAATTGTTCAAATATTGATGAAATTATGAGGGCTCAAATGAAGATAGTAATGATACTGCCCACAGGTTTTGCACAGTTTTTTCTTTTCAAATTTTAAAAATCATACATAACTCAAAAAATGTGTCCAATTTTTCTGGAAAGAGAACCCTTGGTGACACCATAATTAACTAGACAATGATAGAAATTGACTTGAGTTGGATTTGTTCTGAGAATCCTCTTCAAAGCACTAGAACGGGAAAACAAAAATTCAAACCCAAATCACAAAAATCGGATTTTCACAACACGTCAAAGATTCATCCATCCTTTGAATACACACAGAGGCTGAAAAAAAAAATAAAGAAAAATAAACTTACAAGAACCGCAACATAGTCTCCCGGGTTGATAGGCTGTGACTCTGAGGATCCATGAGAGGCTGGTATTGATCCACTTGGTATGATAACTTTAGTATTAAAATCATTTCGGCCATAAAAATCATGTTCAGACCTCTTGCTGACCTATGGAAAAGATTGTAGAATTACGATGTTACCTACCTTGGAGTAAACGATTAAATTTTGCAACAGAATAGTTTAAGATCAACAGAATAAAGTAAGTATACGGTTTAATTTTAACCAAAAATTGAGACTTGTTTTCACTTATCATCACCAAGTCAGAAGATCCACCTTTTTTAGCTACAATGAGGTCGCTAGAACAATTTTATAACTTAGGTTATATTTTTTAAACGTTTTACATATTTTTGGAAAGAAGCAGTTTACTTTGCTTGCACAGCTGCCAGCAAGAAAGAATTTTAGAAACTTTTCTAAAAATTGCTTCATCCCGTTTTCTTGCACCATTAAACGCAAAATGCAGCATACTAAGAAAATTTCTTGGTGCAGAGGGTTGGTCTGTTCCCTCCACAGATCGGAGAAAACCACAGTGAACATTCCACCCAAGAATTCCTGATGTACAGAAATTTACCTTAATATTATCCTGAAGTCATTTTCTGCCATGGAAAAAAAATGAATTGCTGATCTAACAATTAAATTGTTAAAAAATATGTCCAACACGTTTCAAATGTACATTTTACAATAGTGAATAGCTAATTTAACCACGAGGGTGCTTAAATTAGCATTATTTTATTGTAAAATCTACATTGAAAAAAGTTTGGATGCTTTTTTTAACTACAAAATTGTTGAATCAGCAATTTCATTTTTTTCTGTACGTTCAACACCACCAAAGTACCTTTACCCTCAGTACTATTATAAGGACTAGGAAGGCCTCTGATGATGTTCTTCAGAGAAATGATGGAAAAAATAAAACAAGAAGAAACAGGACATACCCCTTCAACTAAGACCAATTGGATATCTCCTTCGTATGCTTTGTGGATTCTACTAGCTCCTTTCCGGTACACTACATTCATTCTTGCTATTCGTTCCTTCTTAACATCTTCAGGTACATCATCCTTGTACCGTCTATGAGCAGTAGTTTTCTGTAAAAGAAAAAAATTTAAATTTTATATGTATAAGGTCTCTATGGGTAAAATACTCTAGGGCTACATATTAATGTGAATGCCAATAGAACTCTCACTTATTCTCCTTCGGTCAAACATTTATTTTACTCGCTAGACTTCACGCTCTGACAACAAATAAATGGAAAAGGTAAAAATTATTTATTACCTCTCTCATGCTATAGGCAAACATAAAGGCAACACTGTATGGCACTGTTTCCATGAGAGTCAGAGTGTCTTGAAACTGTTCCTCTGTTTCTCCGCAGAACCCACAGATGAAATCCGATGATAGAGAAACTGATGGTATTGTTTCTTTAACGTGTTGAATTAGCTCAAGATATGCCTCTCTTGTATAACCTCGCCTCATTCTTTCTAGAATTTCATTATTGCCTGACTGAGCCGGTAGATGAAGGTTTTTACATATATTTCTGCGACTTTTGATGACATCCAAGACCTGAAATCAAAGGTGGCCAGAAATGTGAGAAATACAGAAGAGAAATGTAAAAAAATTGACAATATGTGGCATTTTTAATGGATGTAAAGGATAGAGAGGATAAAGTGTAGAAATTTATATTTTGAGGGACAATATACACAATGAAAAAAAAATCAATTTTTTTACATTCAAACATTCTTGACCAGTTTACTTTTTGACCGGTGTGCCACAATAGCAAGTGGAACAAAAAAAAACTCTAAAAGGGTTCAGCCTTTTTTAATTATTTTGTGCAGTTTAACACTGAGGCGCCTGTGCTGAGGCCTTTGTCAAGCTGTCACTGTGAGGCGCCACCTTTGGGCCACCTTTTTCTATCCATTCCACAGGGTACATGGCCCTTGCGGGTGGCGCGCTCAAAGAATTTTGAGCCAAAATCAAGCTAACTACGTAAAAGCAGGAGCCATGGCAAGACAAGAGAGAGAAAGAAATAAAAAAAATAATACTAGAAATTTGCTCCCTTTTTTCGGATTTACTTTAAATAGATTCCTTATTCTAGAAAGAATCAATGGAAAATAAAAAGAAATATCGATCAAAAATAAAACTTTTGGATTTCCTGAAGAAATTGTGGGAAATACATACCTCATCTGGGAAATCTTTGGGATGTGGAGAAGTGAATCGGATCCTCACTTCAGGATCAATTTGTGAAACTTGGTCCAAGAGTTCCGCAAACCTCATTCCACCTTTCTTTGGTTTGTAAACTGTTTTGAATCCACTTGCTAACTTAGTTTCACTTGGAAAAAAATGAGATTCTGTGGTTGCGTCTCGATAACTATTGACATTCTGACCTGAAATTAGAAAAATAAGATTGTTAAGTTGTCTGAAAATTCTTACATTTTAGGCTTCCAAACTTGATGATGGAGGCATCACAGCTTATGCAGTGAGATGCTAAGTCTATTTTTAAAATGTTTCATTCAGCATTCAAAATCAAAAGAAAATACTTTAAATTACTGTAGGTATTGTAGTACTTTTTATTCAAAACACTACGAACCTTCATCCCAAAAGAAATGTAAAAATAGAATTACAAAAGAGAAAGGCTCTCTTTCATCTTAAAATTGTGATGAGTAATTGTAATCACCTAATAAAATTATTTCTTTTACACCCTGTCCTACCAGGTGTTTAACTTCCTCTTTAATAGATTCCACAGGTCTGGAGCGTTCACGACCCCGAGTGAAAGGAACTATGCAATATGTGCACATGTTGTCACAACCTCGCATGATGGATCTGTAAAAAATAGGGCAAAATAATTATCTCCATTTCATGAAATAGATACTGGGGAACGGACAGCATTATAGTAGCTCCTAAAATTCAAGTTTTGTTCTGTCTTCCAATGAGTTGCTCTGTCATGTCATGCATGATGATCTGTCTGGCATCCATGATCTTATGTACTGCCTCATTCCTGACGATTCTTTCTGGAAATACCAGCGGATCTACGCCAGCAGTCCATCTCTGTTGCCTCTAAAACCTCCCAGGTCCGCTATTTTATCATACTTCACACCCATAGGTCACTATGCTCTTGATAATCACGTTGTAGGTCCTACTTTTGTTCTCTTTAGAGATCCTTTGGTCCCAAAGGACTCCATGTAACATGGCAATTGCCCTCCTACTCTGCATATTTCTGTTCTTGATGGCCTGGTCCAATCTATCCTAGGTCAGAAAAACTCGTAAATATTTGTCAGGTTAGTATCTTAAGTATTGATAAACTCATATAATTAAAATTACATCTGAAAAAGTTGAAGTCACACCATTTTGGAGACCTAGGTTACTCACACAAATGCAGAAATTGAATCCTCATTCAATCGCACAGGCATGACATCAGCATACGTTTCATCTAGGGATAACAATACATTGACGGCGGATTGACTGTTACTATAAGTTGAGGCGAGAAGCCTTGGAAGATCCTTGTAGCTATCAGGTCCTGCTATCACATCAACAGCTTTTTCTTTTTCTAAGATTTGGTGCTTCAGTCGCTCGGCCATGCAACCTAAAATAAATCAAAAGGTTCCAGAGGTAAATAGTTGGGTCAAACAATTTAGCAATGATCATTCAATCTAGGGATTCACATGCCTATTTCTAACAAGCAGGGCGTATTTCTGGAAATAATCATGGGAAAAAAAATTATACGCCAACTTACGATAAAAGTTTGTTAGGTTGAAATGTTGAAAGACTGAAAACTATCTGACGACTGAGGTAGTGGAAGAATAAGTCATGGACCATCTCTAAAAGATGCTTTGTTAAAAACAGGAATGCTAAGAAAATCAAAACAGCCAACAGCTGACTCTGTTTTCAATTGAATGATTCTGAAAATTAGGAGGCAAACAGTTCTTTTGTTATCTTTTTTTCTTAAAAAAAAAAAAAAAAAAAAAAAAAAAAAAAAAAAAAAAAAAATGTTTGACCTACTAAATGTTGTCCAAATTGTAAATGATGATTTCTTCATTCTGTTCGAAGTGCAGGAACATTAGAAATCTAAAGAAAAAACATTTTTCCAAAAATTTAAAAGTTCACTTAAAATTACACATGATAAATGCTCTTACCTAAAACACCAATTTTTACTTTATTTTTCTTCTTTCTCCGCTTGATACTATGGAAGTAATGAAGTCTCTTCCAAATTTTCTGTTCAGGATTTTCTCTGATTGCACAGGTAACAAGCAGTATGACATCAGCATCATGCTCTGATTCACTTTTTTCATAACCAGCTGATCTCAGCACAGACCAAACAATTTCAGTGTCACTAACGTTCATTTGACAGCCATAAACATCAAAAAAGACTGAATAAAATAAAAGAAAAATTCAAAATTAGAAATGTCAATGGTTAAAGAAAAAAGGATTAGATAAGACTCAACGATCGTTCGATCACATGATTTTTTCATTTTGACATTCTGAACGTTTCATCTCTTAATAATTATTATGCTCCTGGATACTATCTCAAGAGGAATTTTGTGAAATTGACTTGTATTACATTTAATTTTGTACCTATCCATCATTTGGCTGTAATGAACAATTCGATGATGAAACTATTATACAAGATACCTATCTCAGTTTATGTTGTTGCAGTATTCCTGTCATGCTTTATTTCTTCAATGGAAAATTAATTAAAAAACATCAATTCTAGAAAATGTCCATGATAATTTCTCTTTACAATGAAAACTCTGTGAAAACATCAAGGAATGATATTGACTTGTTCTCCTCCAAAAACATGAAATGGAAGCGGAGATTCTTAAACACCGCAAACAAAATATGTTGTCTGAAAGTTTCACCATCAATTTGTGTGCTGTTTGGGCTACTGCAATTCTACCTTTCACACAGTAATTAGATCCATTTGTAGGTAATAAAAGATGTTGACCTGATAGAGAGACAAAACTAAACTGCAAAATAAGTTTACACTTGCAAGTAAGGTTTGATGAATTAAGTGAACCACTTTAGAAAAATCAAATACCTAAAAGTTTACCTTTTCTTCTATTCACTGTCCAATCAGAACTTTGCAAATACGGAGAATACTGAGCTGATAAGTCTTCCGGCACGAATTCACTTTCACTAATATGAGTATTTGCGATAAAATCTTTGAGAGTTGGGCCATCTTGCAATTTGGCTTTGAGGGATTGTATTTTTGGCTCACTTGCATCACAGAAGGATCGATCTATCACTGTTAGCACTTTCGAATAAGAAAAGGTCTTCGAAAGATGATCCAAATTTCGAGCAATGGGTAAAATCTTTCTGCAATACATGATTAAAAGGAATTAATCTGAGAAGGTAAGAGGATTTTCTCGGCAGAGGATTCTTTCACAAACACCCATAGAGTACAACGCAAACACAGGAACTTTCGGATAATTAAATTCTTGAAAAAAGTACTAACTGAAAAGTAACAACAGTCATGGAGTAGAAACTGCGGTTAATAAGTAATATAAACTTAAATTCTTACATTTTTTCACACTCACTTGTTTTTGTTTTGAAATGTCATAATGTCATAACCTAACCTAATTCTTAGGGCATGCACCATCGATGCAATGCATCAGTCAAAGGAACGCGGGAGATTTAAGTTTCGGGATTCGGGAGAAAAGTTAAAAATGATGCCCGAACACATCTCTCCTACTTTCGGCTGTGTTATTCACGTAGTGCTTGAAGCAACACCACGAATAAAACAAACGCAAATAAACACAATATGGAAATAAAGCGAGGGAAAGGATGCACGTTTACGACGGCGCAGAGATACAACTATTCGTACTTGATGGACGTCCGTGCTGCATCTGAAAAATTAAAGGCGCGATGACGCGAAGCGTGAACTATCGATGCTCTGCTATATGGCAGAAGTCTGCTAATTGTTGTCAATAAAGCGTCGCTCAGATTTGGGAAAAAAGTTAGAAAAGAGGCGCAAATACGTCTTTCCTGTCTACTGCTGTGTTCATACTCGTACTCGTTCTTTCTTCTTTTTTCAGGTTCTTGATTCTTTCTTAGGATGGATTTGCAGATCCACGTCTCAAGCTCGTGTAAATTGCAGCACTGGCTTGGTTCTTTTGGAAATAATGGTGCTTGGATGCGTCTGGTGGCTTTGATTTTTTATGTTTTCTTTAATTTCAAAAGTCTGTTGGTTACTTCGCAACGTTCAATTTTGCAATTTTTACTCTGTACGATTGCTAAACTTTGAACTTGAAAATAGCGCAAACTTGTGCTGCTTTGCCAAACTTTTTTGAACCCTTCTCCACGTAGGGGATGCCCTATCAGGAAATATCAAATTACGCCCCTTTAACCAGCCAAGGGTCTACGCCCTCAGATGCGAGCCAGTCCGACCCTGCTGTCAGCCTATCATATGGACGTATTTTTATCAAACGGACCTAAGCGCCATAGGGTGAGGAAGGTAGAGGGGAACTTGGATCGGCGGCGAAATCGGGCGTCCGGCTTATTCCGTCCTATACTCGCAATGTTTTTCCATGGCGCTTAGGTCCGTTTGACAGAACGCGCTATCCGGGACTCTAAATTCCTCAAAAGGAACTCAAATTGGCACTGAGTTCAATTTGATAGAAAAAAAGTTTCAACTTTCGAGAGGAAAGAGGAAAATTGTTTAATTTCTTCAATGAGGGACTCAGAGGGCAAGGCGCATAAATGCAGTTTTGCAAACATTTAGGTATTAATGGTTTCAAGTAAAATTAGTCTAAATGCATATGCAGTGAAGAATTGGCCCCGAAATTCCAATTTTGAAGTGTCAAAAAGTCAGTCTGAACTTTCCTTCCGCCACAAAGATCCATGTAATTTCGAAATTTGTAACATTTATTTCTCGAAATAGCAAAAACTGCACTTGAGCGTCTTGTCCTCCAAGCCCCTCCGATCAAGTCTCCATATGATTATGAACCAGCTTATGTGTTCTTGGATCCATGCCTTTGTCCGTCGGGCCTCGAAGTGTAGGCATACTAATGAAACCAGTCTCGTGGAGGTGGAGGGGGCCTTACGTAACCTCTTACGTAAAGTTCCGCGGCGCGACGCGCCGTTAGTATCCGTCCCGAAACTTTATCATGATCAGGGAGTGATTCTAGAACATCGAATCAAGTGTCCCGTTCAGCTTAAAGAATCGCAAACCTTTGAAACGTTCCTGGGTTTCCGATGTGAGCATAATCTTTTTCTATTTTTTCATCATCTCACGTTTCTCCCCATTTCCTTTTCTAATTGAGGTAGTTGGTACTTTCATTCCAAAAATTTTAAAATTAATATTTCTAAAAATCGGAAAATTTTTCAAGAGGCATTCAGAAATTTTCTAAAATAAAAAAATAGAAAATGCGTCCCTCTTGAAAAATAAGAAAAACTATGCATTAGAAGTCTTCCGAACCCTTTATTCTTCTTCATTTCTCGTCCATTTTCTCCTCCCCCTCCCTTCGAGAAAAGGAAAGAGAGAAAGCAAAGGATAAAAAACAAACCAATGTACACACGTGGTAAATCTGCTCAAGTTATTCGATGTCTCTGCTGTATACTAGATTTCATATTATTTTTAATAATTTTAATGAAAACTGACAAAATATTTTTGACAATGGTTGAATTGTTCGTAGAGCATTTTTTTAATTATTTAGGTAAAATCACATTTCAAATATTATAACCACAATTTTGTCGAAAAATCTGTTAAAATATGTTAATGCAGGATCTCCCCACCCCCTGATTTGAAAATTTCCCCGAAAATCCCTCATTATTTAAACAATTATTTATTTCGAATTAATTCTTCATTTAATTCTTCATTTAATTCTTTAGTTCTTTATTCAATTATTTAATTATTGCTTTCTTTATTCAATTATTTAATTCTTTATTTAATTATTTAATTCTTTAATTCTTTGCTTCCGAACCCATTTCCCCATGAAAAATGTCTGGCTATGCCGTTGTTGACTTTATGTTGAAAAAAATGCCGAGATATCACTATGGTTTACAGGTCCATTCGATTTTGCCGCTCCGTGGAGACCAGCTCACACACGCAAGAACGAATCCTCTCATCCCTGAGTCGAGTTCATGGTCAAAACTTGTCTCTGTCAAAACCACTCACCCGGTCCACTACCAACACAACAAAATGCCGACACTCATCATCACGCGGGAACCAGTCTCAGTTTCCAGAATCTCCAACGCGACGACCCTGGCGGCGAGAAACGAAATCCGCCCCAGATCCTCGCCGTTGTTGTGAGTAAAAAAATCACCAATAACGACGATCACCGCGCCGTGATAACGGGAATGAAAGATAAAACGGAGCGATGGAAATAACCTTATCAAAAGCTCCGAGTATCGAAAATAAACACGGTGAACGGAGGCTCACGTATTCCGCTCGTGAAAAAGAGACCCAGTGTGATTGTGTCGTTGTAGCTCCGTTCCAATTTCGACGGAAACGAAACCGGTGCGCGGGATCTCGCGGGAGAAAAGTTTTTCCGGAGCGTGGAAATCGGGTGAAAAGTGCGAGGAAGTGCCCCTCGGTGCGTGAAAGTTCGGGAGTGACATTTGTGACGTGAAGCAACGTCTCGATCCCTGATCGGGGAATGAAAATTGGACGATGGAAACGGACCCGTTGATCGCCAAAAGTCCTGCTCGTGGATGTAAGTAACGTACTCGTATTTGTTTAAAATTACTTTGCCTCTGCAGCATAATTGGACGTGTTTCTGCCAAATAGAACTATGTGTATTGTGACGTAAGGCCTGTTATGCTGCCGCACTAAGGAAGAACGCCGTATGAACCTTCAGACGCTGCCATATTTAGGTCAATAGAACCTTAATTTACTGGAAAAATCGTGAATTTTTTTCTTCAAAATTTCCAGACAATTTTCTTCACAATTTCGTCTAAAATGTCTGAAAATTTCAAGGGAAAATACGCTTAATTTTTCTTAAGAATACATGTTTTACCCGGGGCAATTTGGCAACTCTCGAATGTTCATACGGCGTTCTTCTTTAGGACGGCAGTATGCATATATTCCTATGCTGCCTTGCTAAGGAAATACGCCGTATGAACCTTCAAACGTTGCCAAATTTCCTTTGATAAAGCACGGGTTTCCTGGTAAACTTATGAATATTTTCCTTCCAACTTTTCAGATAATTTTCTTCACAATTTCATCTAAAGTTCCTGAAGATTTCAAGGTAAAATATTCATAACACTCCTCAAAAATAAACAATCCATCGGAGGAAATTTGGCAACCCTCGAATGTCCGTACGGTGTCATTCCTTTAGCACGGCAGTATGGGTCTCGGGGCTCATGTCTTAATGCACATAGTTCCGTTTGGCAGAAATACGTCCAATTAATAGCAGTTTGGTCGGCGAACCACTTACAAGTGTACGTAGGATTTACCCCTCATTGAAAAATCAACGAGTACCTTATCATATCTCAATGTTGCGACCTAATAAGTCGTTTACGAAAGAACGCAAGTACATTGCAATATCGCCAAATTCTCCTTGCACATTGCAATTTTAACTGTTGATTTTTGGGCATTTCCAACCGAAAATCTCACTGGTTTTTTATCTGATCTCATGCAAAAATCAGAAAAGATTGGACAGGAATAGCACAGGCCTATTCTTGTAAAACTTTAATTGTTGAATCAATTCTGCAACGTTGGAATCAAGTTACGTCTCTCCGTCCGGGAAACGACGAATTGGACGCATTCCTATCAAACGGAACTACGTGCATCATGACGTGAGCCCTGTTATGCATACATTCTTATGAGTCTCAGGGCTCCATGTCTGAATGCACATAGTTCCGTTTGACAGAAACACGTCCAATTTATGAACGGTCCCTTAGACCTAGTTCTATCACCTCTTGTCACGGTCAAGTTTTAATCAGAGGTTTCAAAATGTTCAGTTGCCGCCAAAAATTTCATATGACTAAATTTAATGAGGAAACGCGCTAGTGCCCCGCCAAAAAACATGTAAAACTTCGTTTTGTTAATAAATTAGTGGTAGTGGTAGAGCTAGGACCCGAGCGCGTGATAATGTTTTTGCCTAATCGACGATTTGAAGGAGCACATTCGGGTTACCCGGTTTCCGTACTCATAGAATCAATTAATCTACATTTTTCAACAAGAAACCAGTAATTTTGGCTCCTTTAAGAAACTACGTACATACTAAGCTCATAGTCTTTCGAATGCAGGTTGGTAATTTCGCAGAATGATCAGGAAATAGTATTTCCTCATCGCGAAATGCAATCCTGTTGAATGTCTCAGTCTGGCTTTGGAAGTAAACGAACAAGTACATACTGTTATTACTCTATGGTGGAACACTAAATTTGAACATTTTAACCCTCAGATGCCCAAGCCGCGGGTCCAATAGATCCAAATCTGACTAAAAGCACCTTGCCTGCGGATTTGAGGGGCTGGTACATACGAGCGTTAGATGTAGGTCTACAGATACATCTTTATAAAATATACAGACATCAAATTGAAAAAAAAAAGAAAAATATTTTTAAAAAAAAGTCGTGTATCAATAAAGCCCATAGGATAGATGTATAGGGCCTCGTTTTTAAACTTTTCTGCTGAATTTGAGTCACATTTAATCGGCAGCGTAGACCAGAGTATTGCGAATTGCGAGTTAACGCCTCGCACCATGTTCGCGCCTTCAATTCTGCAGATGCAACACGGGCATCCATCAAGCATGAATAGTTGTATCTCTGCGCCGTCATCAACGTCCATCCATTCCCTCGCTCGAATTCCGTGTTTTGTCGGTTGACTTATTTGTAGTGATGCTCCAACGGCTGCGTGAGCAACACGTACGAAGATAGGAGAGACGTAATTGTGCCTTGTTTTTTAACTTACCTCCCGAATCCGAGTGACACCTTCATTGGCAGCATATCGACGGTGAAACTACCAAACCACGTATCTCGTTTGCGGTGTTTAAAAATCTACGCTCGCATTTTATTTTTTTGAAGTCGACCAAATCAATATCATTCCTTGAAATTTTCACAGAATTTTCTCTGCACAAAGAGGAAAAATCACAGAAATTTTCAAGACTTGACGTTAAGTAGTTTTTCATTTAAAAAATAAAGTATGACAGGAAGTCTGCGACGTCGCAAACCGAGATACGTGGTTTGGTAGTTTCACCGTCGATATAGCGCGGAGCACTGCAAGTTCACGCATCACGCCATCGCATCGCGCCTTCAATTTTGCTCATGCAACATGGACATCCATAAATCCCGAATAGCTGTATCCCTGGGCCCGAATTTTGTCGGTCCCTCCCGCACAGTGGATCTAGTCAATCAGAGAAGTCGAACATGACATATTTATCTAAAATAGCAAATTTTGATTTTTAATTCGTCAAATTTTAAATTTAAAGGGGTGCTTCTTAACGAAAATTCCACAAGGAAATCAATGGAGCCAGTGTTAAAACCTCCAAGTTTTGTATGAATGGAGTTATGAGTTTTTAAACTTTCCAAATTTAGTCCGCCCCCCCCCCCATTGACTCGATCCGTTGTGCACCGTGCTTAAGTATACTTGAATCACATATTGCAGAAAGGGCACTATTGCAGAAATGTTAACTGTTCAGAAAATGCAAAAAACTGATTTGAGTAAACTATGAGCTTTTGGAAAAAATTTTTTCTAGGTTTTCTTTTGTCCCCCAAGTAGACTGACAATTTCCATAAAAAATGTTTACATGATACTCTTTCTGGGTTGTAAATAATGACACTTGAAGGAAGAGCATTAGTGCCCTTTCTGTAATACATGGGGGAAGGAGCCATAAAGAGTGATAGAATGAAGCCAGAAAATTATTTTAGCCCTTGTTTTTCATCTCAAATGTATGGCAATGATGCATGTCTGTAGCGAAAGTTGGAAATTGTATATCTCCATTGCAACGTTTCAAAATTTCTGCTCTCTTTTTATACTAATTTTTAAAGAGAACTAATAGAGATTTTCCCATGAAATTTTCAGAAAACAATTTTGATGGTGTGAAGAAAATTTACCCAAAATTTCAATAGAGAATACTTAAGAACAAAAAAAGAAGACGAAATAAAATTGGCAATGTCGCAATTGATGGTATGCGATTTCGAACTTTCACCATGTGGTTTGCCCACAGCTATGTAAATTTTAAAGATATTTCTAGCTTATTTCAAGTCAAGAAATTAAAAAAAAAAAAATGTATCCTTTGAAGTTCAATAGCGTAGTATTCTTCTACCTACTTCCTCATCCAACCTGTTAAGGGCTCCTCTCACTTCCTACACTCATCAAAACAAAACAAACGACGAGTTGCCGCTGCCGATGCGCGCGCACCCAGTGGGCATGTACCGCAGAAACGGCACTATATTGCTGCAACAATGCCCTTTCTGCTCTACGTGAGGAACTTAACCCCTGTCAAAAACACATAAAAAATGCGAATATAGTGCCCTGTCTGCACTACATGATGTGTCCACATACACTAATGCGAAAACCGCAAAAAACTCAATTTCGAAAAAAATGTCGATTGTGCCCTTTCTGTAATAGCTGATTCACTTATGGAACGAGTCTCAAGTGCCCTTAAGTCCGCCGGCCTGCTTAGCGCTTCTGATTGACCGATGCGGTGCGGTTTTGATTCATTGATGCATGTTGCACCTCCGGGTGAAAGAACCGACAAAATTCGGTCCCAGCGCCGTCTTTAACCCACGTTGAGGTGTCTCTTAAATTAAAGGGAAATTAAAGTTTAGTTTGCTCATATTACATTATGATATGGTGGGCCCAAATCAATAATCATTATTTTTTTTTTTTTTTTTTTTTTTTTTTTTTTTTTTTTTTTTTTTTTTTTTTAAGTATTAAGTAAACACGAGTAGAGGTCTCTAAAGAGCGCTCCTTCCAAACTTGGTTTTTTTTTACAGAGTTAAGTCGTGTCAGGGTGACGACTCCTATGAATATCTCAAGCCGTGTCTCGAATATATCTTCTAGGGGAGTCTTATGACAAATAAGGAAGGAGGGGTGAGAGAGTGCCAGTATCTTACCTAAAAGGTAATTATTTAAATACGGGTTTCTTACCCTCAAAAATGTAGGAATAACATAGATATTATTTCAAAAACTGTCAAAATCAATGCATATTTAAATACGTTCAACTTGACCCGACTTGGAACTTGGTGTGTATATGCATTGCAAAGTCTTCAGCATCTAAGGATTAAATTCGAATATATTAGACAAACAGCTATTTTTAGTGTAGGTAATTTTTAATTATTTCTTTATTCTTCAAAGCTGAGTAAACGGAAAGACGAAGCAACGGAAAATCCTCACTTCTGGAGGGGCCTAGCAATTCTATTTATACGTGCGGTTTAACCGCACTGAGCCGCTAAAAAGCGATGGTTTACCCATTCATTAGGTGGTGTTTGTGATATTAACAGCGGTATGAGTTCGTCTATGATAGTTTTTTCATCATGGCACCGACATTCAACACAAATTTAGAATGAAGGTGCGATTGAAGACTGCGAATCACTAAAGCCACCGTGATAATCAGTCAGTGGAAGACTAATTTTGGAATAGCTGGAGGTCGTGGCAAAATCTTTATTTAGAACATCATTCTTCTCAGTTTACTTTGGAGTTCGTTCATCTTCATGACTCTGATCTATACAGTTAAAAAGTTCCGTTTTATGGTTACCTCGAGTTACTTTATTCCAGCCGGATCAACCAAAAAGACTTGGTTGCTCTAGAGTACCTGTATAGGGAGAGTAGCGACAGATCTGAAACTCCGAAAGTCCATCAGGCCTTCACCGATGCCTCCGCGAATAAAGTTAGGGCCCAAAAGGGCAGCCAACCTATGAATTTCGAATGTCCAGAGCGATTTACAAATCCAATTGTTACGAACCGTCGTTTAGAAAGCATGTATTTGGTTTACTTTTTGCATAAATTTACTTATTTTTGCGAAAGAACGCTCATTTATGCACATTCTTAGCCATCTTGGTTAGAATTGAAATCTGTAGGCTGGCAGTGAAATTTTGTGTGTTAGAAGTTGCTCAGAAGGGTGGCTGCACTTTTGGGCCCTAAGCCCTCCATGAACCGATCTGTCGCTACTCTCCCTATACAGGTACTCTAGGTTGCTCAACATAATTGGACGTGTCTCTGCCAAGCGGAACTATGTGCATTAAAACGTGCGACCTGCTGAGACCCATAAGAATATATGCGTAACAGGGTTCACGTCATAATGCCCAAAGTTCTGTTTGGCAGAAATACGTCCAATTTTTGGTTAAATCCAAGATCTATTCACATAGGTCAGTCATTCCCAAAACCAAAATGAGAATCTTCTGCGCATGCCGTTAGCATTATTGGCGCGAAAGCCAGATAGCTGGGGATCAATGCTTTTTTATGGGAGAAGGCTAATTTTTATTGATGAATCAATCTTCCTTAGGTACTTTCAAACCGTTTGAAAATTTTTGAGAGTCTAAAAAAAAAACGCACGACGGAGAGATCGGTGGCGGGACTCTTTAACTCATGAGCCCTGTCCACAAGGCTCTTGTGACATGCCCATAGCTCACGAGTTAGCGCTCAGTTCCTTTTGATTTAATTGAAAATCCCATTTTTCCATTCTCTCAAAAGGAACTATATCCACTTTTACACTGTTCCTCATGCAGCTTGCACAAGCACACCTCATCTTTCCACTTGCGCATGTTCCTTTTCTCATAAATACGTTCAAATGAGGTTAGTAATAGACTAATTACTGGCAACCCACGAGAGACCCTGTAGTTAGTACATCGTCTTTATCAACCACTCGTTTCAACCAACAGATCCCTCCATACTCCCTATGTCTTTAAATCTTTCGCTTTGCCTATCATTTCAATTATCAGCTCGCTGGGAAACGGCGAAATGTTTCTGTGGCTAGCAACGTTGCTATTGGCCAGTATGACTTTTCGGGGGTAAGTGGGAGCGAAACGGGGCGTAGCAATGCGATGCGACAGTTCCCGACCGTCTCACGTGAATTCAGTCAAAGCGCAAGGAGAAACAATTCAAAACACTTATTTACAAGCACAATCACAAGCACTGAAACTTCCTTCCTAGTCGGTCGGGAAGCCTCTGACTAAAAGCGCGTGCATTACTTATTAAAATACAGCTATTAAGTTGTCTCGGCAGTGTCTTGATTTTTCCATCATAGTTTTCTCGACCTTCCAGTGCGTTTCCTTTCCCATCTCGTTTTCTCTCCGACCCATTTTTTTTGTTTTTATAAATAGTTTGCAAGAACATTTTTAATTTAACAAATTTTTATGATTTGTAAGTGCAGCAATTATAAAAATTATTGCAAGAAAAAGCTTAAAAATGACACTGTGAAACTATTGTGCATCAGGTTACCCGCCATTACATTTTAGTGCACTCGCGAATTGTGCTCTAAGGTTTCTATGAATTGCACTTATGGGCGTCTCGTCAGAATAATCCCGACAAAAAATCTCTGTTGACTTATTATCAGTGAGTACTTCGTTAAGTTTTGTATCTTTTTTTCAAAGGTGTATGCGTAACACACATTGCTAAATCTCTAATTAATTGTCCGGATGAAAAACTCCTCTGAAAAAATGTGCACGTTGCGTAAATTTTGAAAAATAAAACTTAAATGGGTGAGTTGAAAAGTCCGTACTTTCGTTCGTGATGTTGTGGATGCCCGTTCATATTTGATAGATTTCTTTTAGTTGTTAAAGGATTTCTCGTCATATTTTTAAATTTTTCAAGAGTTTAACTCAAAATGTGAGGAGTAGAAAGCAAAACTTTTATGCTGAAGTATTTTTTAGGTTTTCCCTTTTTTTTCTTTTTCTTACAAAAATGTCACATACATAACATTTTTAACTTAATTACAATTATTCTATCCAGATTACGACGCAAGGTTTTTATTGGCATCAGTGTATCATTAAAAACTATTTTATGAGTTCAATGAAATTCATAGAGGGTAATAGAAGGAAGAGAGTTGCAATTATCCCACTCTAGAAATAAACGCATGTATAACAACTCTTTTTTAAATCCGCTTCTAGAACATGCATTAATGTTTTCTTCTTTTACGGGAAACTGACGGATTGAATAATTAATTGCACAACTAGGAATTAGCGAGATTATTAGATTAGTACGATAAAAGTGTTAAATCACTGATAGTGTCATTGCATAACCTTCTTTAGTTCATCGACTCAAGGATGTGAAGTGTAGTTATAGAGATTAAAATGCAATCCACCAAGGTGCAATATTATACATTCATCACTTTAGAAACAAACTTTAAATTATGATATAATAATCAAAGCCTCTCAAACGTTGATGACACTCAGTGCTCAGTGTTTCGAGTTACAAATTAATTATTAAATGCCTTCATCTGAAATTCCCCAAACTTTTGTTTGATAAAGTATTATATCCAGTACTGCAACACCGTGCAGCGCTTCCTTGGGCATTTTTGAAGGAAAGAAAAAGTAACGTGAATAAACAAACGAATGTTACGTGACAATAATAATTTATGCAGGATGAACTTTCATTAGCCAAGAACTTTAAAGGTGTAATGGCAAGCGCCTTAATTTTTCCAAGATACTCCACGCTTTGCTACGAAGGTACTTTAGGTACCCCGCCGGCTCACATCCAACTCGTGCGGTCGAAATTGAAATGTAGTAGAATATATTTATTAGATTACAATGGATTTAATAAGATACGACTCCATCATAGAGCGCCCTGGCTTCATCTCCACGATACTTTACAGTTTGTAAAGTTGGTAGTTTATAGCTGTTCAACCCACTCGAGCTTAACATAGGATTCAATTCTTCGTCTTAAAGCTCTCCCCCCGGCCTTTTGCGTAGTACCCATTAGCCGCACAAAGTATCCCATTGTGCGAGTAGATGATGAGAGACTTAAAGCATTTTAGAGGGGAAAAGGTTTTTCGGGGGCAGGGGGGTTAAAGAAATAGGAAACGTACTGACAAGATTTTGAAGAGAAAACGTTTAAGAGTTTCTTGTAGTTGAGACTTTGTCTAGTCACCCAGTGGATCATTGCCAAAGTATTTTGTTAACAACATTCTCGCTTTGAAAGGTACAGCCAGGTACTATTTTAGATTTTTTACCATTTTTCTTTTCATTTATCCGACTGAGGATGGCTAAAAAGCACGGGAAGGAGCGGGATCAGCCCTTGTGACTACTTAAAGTAGTAAAAAAAAAAAAAAAAAAAAAGTTTTCAGCCGAAACGTCTTGGTTTCATTCGTGAAATGTTAGCCTTGTTACCCGCTTTTTTAAATTGTTTCTTATTGTATTTCGTTAACGTGCTCGTTTTTGTTCCTTTTTCCAGTGAAAGGAAATAGCGGAAAGCCGGAGTCAGGTCTCGAGCAAATAGATGAGGAGGAGAAGGATCAAACAGATGAAGTTGGACAGGTGACGGGGAACTTCGGAATATGGCAGTTCTGGATATGTCTATCTGTTTCGATGGTAAAGTGGGTGGATGCATGGCATCATTTGGCCATTATTTTCCTAGCCCCGGTCACAGAGTTCCAATGTGCAGAGGGCGACTACATAACTTCGGCCGACCAGTGTTTTGTCATCAATAATGGCACTTACGAGGCCTGCCATAAGTGGGAATTCGATACCAGTATATTCAAACAAACCATCATCTCTGAGGTAAGAGCACCGTCCACTGTCCCCGTGTCCCTATGCTAGGCTTATGACAAACTCTGCCGTGCTAAGGAAGAACGCCGTATGAACCTTCGCGGATTGCCAAATTTCTTTCGGTAAAATACGAATTTTCAGGGAAACTTGCGAAAGTTTTCCGTCCAATTTTTCAAGGAGTTTTCTTCGCAATTTGAACTAAGGTATCAGAGAATTTTAGGTAGAAATATTCATTAGTAGCCTCAGAAATTAATGTTTTAAGAGGAGAAATTTGGCAACTCTCGGATGTTCAGACGGCGTTTTTCCCTAGCACGGCAAAACATTCTAGTCGATTTTGCATAATACGTATGTGGAATTGTATCTGGGCTGAATGAAGGCGCCATGAAAATGAGCAGCGGCCGATAGCTCAAAATCCCGAATCCCCAACGCAAGGCGAGACTGACGTGTGAGAAGAATTCGACTACACTTTGGAATATGGAACTATACGATTTCTGCAGGCTCATATATAAAAACACCAATCTACAGGGAAACTACGCACATACGTTGTTTCTAAAATGAGCTAGAATTTGTAGTCCCTGATTGTAAAATGTGGTGCAATTCATGCGCAGACCATTATGTATTAGTTTGCTTTGCGCTCGGAAGTATATCCTCGTAATTTTACAAATTTTGACATCTTGCTAAAACAGGGGAAGAAAATACAAAATAATATGCGGACTTGAATAGTGACAATACTGGACTACATTTTGCAATTATGAACTACACATTCTGGATCATTTTAGAAACAACGTATTTACTATTACTTTCCTAATGCACAAAAGCACTTTTGTGGATGATCCAGAAATTGTGGTTCTTTATTGTAAAATCTAGTACACTTGCAAGATGGTATAAGAAAACATTCTTGGAGTAGTCGCAAGCTGCAAGAAAACAAAAATAAATTTCCTCGAAATTCTTAAGGAGCTTATCATTGCTGCCATGCTAAGAAATAACGCCGTAAAAGCCTTTAGACGTTGCCAGATTCACTTCGATAAGCACTGGATTTCCTTGGAAAATTTCAATAACTTTTTCAGATACTTTTGTTCGCAATTAGATCTAGAAGATTTGAAAATTTCAGAGAGAATTATGAATAACTTCCCTCAAAAATACATGTTATATCTAGAGAAATTTTGCAAATCTCGAATGTTCATACGGCGTTTTTCCTTAGCACGGCAGATTGCAGGTTTAGTAATAATTGGTCTCAATTTTTGCAGTTTGGTCTAGTTTGCGACAAAAACCAGCTGCCGAATGTCGTTCAGTCTGCATCTATGCTGGGAGGACTCGTTGGAAGTATGCTCTTTGGAGTAGCAGCAGACAGGTCAGTGTCCATACTTCTTAAGGGACAGTACAGAATAAATAAATACAATCTACTCGATAAAAATTCATTTTTAAAGCTTTGAATTTGTTGAGCCATCTTCACCTCTTATTTTACCTAATACATCGTGTTACAATTGCATCAAACCCTAAGGAAGTCGGTTGATTTTAAGAGTTGGTAATTGAGCCTTATAAAGATTTATTCTCTGCACGTTATTATCGCATTAAAAATTGCGATATATGGCGATCAAATCGCTACACATCGCAATTTTTGGTTCGATAAAATCGAGATTATATCGCCATTTATCGCGATTTTTATTTCGAAAATATCGCGATAAATTGCGGGGCGATAAAATCGTGATTTTATCCCGATAAGATCAAAGATAATCGCTCAGATGTTGACGATCCTGGCAACTTTATCGCCGATAAAATTGCAATATATCCCGATTTTTCGTTGAAAATGCTACTTGGGTATAGCCATCGATGCGTCTGATGAAAGTTTTAGCCACTGATTTTCAGTCTCTTTCCCCGAAAACTTCTTACCTAAATTGAAAACTTTAGTGTTGCATTTAAAACAATTCACTGGGAAAAAACCCGCTTGGATCTAGAGTCCAGACTCTTAAAAACATTGACAAGAAAAAATAGTCTTGATTCAGTCGGAGTTTTTGCTAGAATCAAGAGGAAATCCGCCTAAATCAAGAGGCTCGGCTCCTCGATTCAAGGAAAAATCGGATTGAATCAAGAGTATTTTTTCTCGTCAATGTTTTTAAGAGTCTGAACTCTAGATCCAAGCGACTTTTTTTTCCAGTGAAGGTTTTTTTCCGTGTATCATACAGCCTACCAAGGGTCATTAAGATCAATTGGACTACATTTTGCAATAAGCACCACAATGAATCTTTGCCTCACACATAAAAATACCTATCTGCTTGGGGAAACAGTAGCACATACGTGGTTTCTAAAATGAGCTAGAAATTTTAGTTCTGGATTGGAATATGTAGTCCGATTCAAAGAAATGCTTTAATCCTGAACTAGTGGGATTATTATACTTACACATTCATAAATTTAAGGTATGGACGGAAGAAGCCCTTGATTATTGGTGTGGTGGGTCAACTAGTCGCTGGAGTGGCTGCAGCCTTCATGCCAACCTACGAGCTTCTACTCCTTTTCAGGTTCATCACATCCGTTGCCGTTGGAGGAACAATGGCCGTTAGTTGTGTTTTATGTAAGTACATATATTTAAGTATCTATAACGTATTTTATTCTTTCGGCTAAAAAATGTATGTGTCACAGGCAATTAGCAATCGCCGGAAATTTACAAGTCAGTGGTGAAAAAATACAGAGAATCATAAAATTCAAAAAGAAAAGAACAAGATGAGACTGCTGATTATGTTGCCTATCATGTGAATAGATAATTTTTCTACCTTATAAACATGTCAGAAATATGCACACTTAGAAGAGCGTGTAGTTAACTCCGTGACAATAGTTGGGTTGAGATCGGACAGGCAACTAAACTAACTTCGTGACAAAGCGTAGAGTATCACAAAAAATGAAGGCGCTTCAAGCCGAGCTCATACTTTTGAAGACCATAACACTTAAGAATTGCATTATGCCGATGCGCATTATTGCGATATATTGAAACAACATGTGAACCGCTTGCAAATTACCCGCGATTGCTGATTCCCTGCAACATATGTTCTTTTGGTAGTTGCGTCTCCCTCCTTATTAATGAGAGATACCTAAAATGCGACAGTTGTGCCACACACAATCATCGTGGGAATCCTGCGGGTGGATGGACGTATGTAGAGTACTTTTATACGGAGAGTATGGACTGAATTACTTGGAACCTTTGGGGTCCAAAAAATGACAACGCGCGACTCTTGGTATGGGAGAAGATGGGAGCGTGAGAAAGGGTTGTTACCGCAACCTTTGACGTTTATCACCTGCTCCACCTGTTACCACCCAACTTTGGTAACGTGAACTTGCAAGAGTGGTACCATGAACTCGCAAGGGTGGTAACTTGAACCTCTACTATGGCAAGCCATAATAGCAAGCACTTGGGAATGGTCTGCATGTGACGTCCGGCCGCCATTTCTTTTGAATCCTAAAGGCTCCATGAAAGGCCTACGATGGCTGAGCCAATCACTAGTGACGTCTTCTGTGGCTATACTCTGTCTACAAAGGCGCACTAGATAGATGGGCAGAAGTAATGAGATTAGTCCTCAAAGTCCAATAGAATATGTACGATTTGATGAATTTCCTTTGTTTTCCTGTTTTTTGCCGTCATTGCACAATTCGGACATGTTGGCATGAAATATGTTTTCACTTTGAATCTAGCGTGCTGCCCATGAAATGTGTTGTCACTTTGAATCTAGTGTGCTGCTCACGAAATGTGTTGTCACTTTTAATCTAGCGTCCAAGTACATTATTGTCAAAAAAGTTCAGTCCTCTTCTACATTTTGTTTTTATACATTTTACAGTAAATTATGATTTATTTTTGCCAAAGGTATGGAAGTAGTCGGTGGGAAATGGAGGACAATAGTGGGAACATTGTACCATATTCCTTTCAACTTTGGTCACATGACATTACCCGTCATCGCTTACTTCACACGGTCAAGCTGGCGGATCTTTGAGATCGCCATATCCTTACCATCGGCTCTGCTCTTGTCATACTGTTGGTAAGAGCCTAAAATTATTTTATCCCATTTTTTATATATAAGAGCAAAATTATCATACATTTTGTTTGGAGATCTAAGATTTGCATAGCTTGGTTGTGATGTAAAAAACGTAGGGAGTTTACAACTTATTTTTCAACTGAAATTTATTATTGTTTGCTAATGATGCGAGCTATGCCCAAAATTCACACAAGCAATAAATAAATGAACTCTGAAAATTCCAATTTCGCGTGTTAAGGTTAAGGCGTGTTAAGGCATCTGAAATCATTTCCTAGAATAATTTTTGCATGCACTGAAAATCGAATTTTGTAAAGATATCTTATTTTTCCAAAATTGACGTAGCAATTGCCATCTAATAGATGGTTGGGATTTTTTTACCATCTAGTAAGGGGTTAATTATTCATCTTTAAATTGGGAGCAAATAAGTTGACCACATTTCACTGGATACCTGATTGACTTTTAACATCACAAAATCATGATATCAGTTGGATTGCATTTTGCAAAACGGAACCAGGAGCATTGCAATGTTGCTAAGATTGTGCAACTTCTTTTGTCTTAGAAGAAAAACCTGATTATCCATTAACAGTTTCTATTTTACTTGCTAAAAACTGTAAATTTAAGACAAAGTTACAATGTAAATTTCATATTTTATAATGGTTTCAGTAATTTTTTTGCAAAGGATGAAAATGCACAAACTTAGCACCATCGCAATTCTTCTGGTTCCTTTTTGCAAAATGCAATCGAGTTATCAGTCATCGATAAAGTCGTCATATTTAAACTTGTTTGCGCATAAATCCAGGTTCCACTGAATTTGGATCGAGACGAGAAGATGTAAAAAAATCTCTTCACTCTCTAATCAACTTCTTTTTTTTTTGAAGGCTTACACCGGAGAGTCCACGATGGCTAGTCGCAACCGGGCGAGGCGAAAAAGCTCTACCTATTTTAGATCAAGCAGTGAGAGCCAACGAAAGAGAATTCCCCGCCGATTTGCGAGAGAGCATTGTGAGTAGCATTTTTTATTCTATTTCTTCCATAATGTGGTAAAGATAGGAAGCCAATTAATATATTAATTCATAAAATACCGTGCTTTTACTTGTAACATTCGAAGAGCATTGTTCTGAATTTCCTGTATCCAAGTTTGCTCGAGGCGAGGGTGACCTTGGCGTTTCAATTAAACTTTTACATTTCCACTCTGCGAATATAATACTTTTTTTTAGCCTACTAGAGAGAGTATCTAGTAGACTCGCCTTCGAAAGAGATACGTATCTCTTGCTCGTAAACGAACGCAAGCTGAATGCCAGTGGTGTGGCGTGCTTTGCGATGTATCGATTGATCTGCTATTTAAACCTATGGAAAAGGATCGATAACATGGTGTTCTCAACGAACATCTTAATAATCGATTCTTTACCATAGTTCGACCGATAATCGACGATTCACGCCCCGCCACCGCTGAACGCTTAATATGTACAGACAGTAGATTTGGACTAAATTTTGCAGTTAGGAACTATAACTTCCAGCCCGGTTTAAAAACAACGTATGTGCCATTAGTTCCCCTCTGCACATGAGTGTTTCTTCAGATGAGCCAGAATGTATAGCTCCAAATTGCAAAATGCAGTCCATTTAATTTGCAATAATTACTTGAAAAGAGATAAGAAAGAATGATAGTGGTTACTAGATTTCGAACAGCACAGGGTGTCTAAAAAGTACATAAACTCCCCCCCTTCTAAAATTTTCCCTAATTGAGCCAATGAGACGAAACTTGAGGATTTTTTCTAAGTCATGCAGAGAGAACTGATTTTTGGCATATCCACAATTTTGGAAAAAGCGAAAAAAAAGTCGTCGTCCCCCGCAATTTTGAATATGCCAACAAGTAGTTCTCTTTGACCTAGAAAAATTCCCCAAGTTTCGTCTCAATTGCTCGATTGAGGAAAATTTTAGAAAATGAGGGGGGGGGGGTACAGACCTTGGAGACACCCTGTATATGAGCCCGAGAACAGCTATGACCAGTAATGGATCCCTGTTTTAATCATGAGTCTGGTTACGTCCACTGTCCGCGTCATAAAAATCGTCAATAATTTACACTACTGGCCGCTGGATTTTCTAGAGATCGGGGCCGGATTTAGGGGGTGACCACATGAACCACGGCCCATGGCGGCAAATTTTGCAATTTTTTTAAATGTAGATATAAAGAAAAATCGGATTCAGAAAAAAAAATTACAAACGAGAAAAGGTGACCAAATCTCTTACTTCCTGAGAGTATATCTCTAATTGTGTCGTCTTGCTGTGATACAAGAGACAGCACCTTTAATTAGTCGAGTTAACACCAAGAGAGAAACCGAACATTGAATTTGGCCTGGAACGGGGCGGAGCAGAGAGCAATGATGACGAGAGCTTGAGATGAAACGGGGAAACCCTGGGTGCGGCTAGAGTCCTTTTATACTGAGAGTCAAGACAATTCGGCTCATGGATGTCACAAACGGGAATAAAAATTACAGAAATTGAACGTTTTTCGTAATCTTTGATCGGCCCATTCTCAAATGCCTTTCTCCGTTCCTCCTCTCATTCCGTTTGTTCCTTGCCGAACCCGTAATTCCCTGGTCCATTCTAGATTATAATCTTTGCAATCGGTGAAAATGAAATCTTTATTCCCGTTTGTGACACTGTGAAGGCCTAAAATACGGGAACCAATCAGAAATGGATTCAAATTGTCTTGACTCTCAGTATAAAGGGACTCTAGGTGCGGCGCGGCGGTCGGCATGTAACACATATTCGCGCCTACAAGACTGCATGAATACATCACGCATTGCGTCAAAGACAGCACGGTCAGCGGCGGGCGGCGCGGCGTGAAACGCATAGCGCCTACAAGACTGCATGAATACTTCACGCATTGCGCCAAACAAAGAGCGGTCAGCGCGGCGCGGCGGCGGCGGAATTTAAAATTATTAAACCACATTTATGTTTGTTCTTTCATAATATTTTCGTTAATTTCATATAAATGGAAGGCCGTATCCACACAGAGATAGGTTTACGGAACTTAATTTTCGCGCCAAGTTCCGTGAACTTTAGCAAGTGGTGTTGACAGGGCTTTTGCAAAACATGTATCCAACACGAGTAAACGCGTCTTATGCACCCCTTCCCCTCCGGCACGTTCACTTGATGGTTTTTTATTGATGTTTCAAAACGAATGAGAAAGGGGCGGCAAAATACAGGCGGCCCATGGATGGGCGGCAAGTAAGTAAAGCCGGCGTTGCTGGAGATCATAGATTTTCAAGAATCTATTTATTGATCGCCAATATACTCCTCTTCCCGCGTTCACTTACCTCTGAATAGAGATGCTTTTGCGCTCGCAGCGAACGTATGAGCGAAATTATTTAGTTATTTGATTTTATTTTCAGAGAAGATCACCGGCTATTGTGAAAAAGAAGCCAAGTATCTTTGATTTGTACAAAACTCCAAACTTGCGAATCAGGATAATAGCTGCTCACGTCAACTGGATTATTTGTGGACTGATTTACTACGGACTGGCTCAGTACATGGGTAGAATCGGTGGAAATATATTTATAAATGTTTCTCTATCTGGTATGTAATTTGACTAACTTGTATTGCATTGATGACTACCAATTTTCGTAATCATTTGTTTCTTCCTGTTTGTAACATAATAATGAAGATTTTGTAAAAGAATTATGAAAAAGGATTTTTCCATTTTTAGCATCTGACTGAATGTTGATTCAGATGCTGATTCAGTGTTGATTCATTATTTTGTAAAATTTTCCCGGCCACATCGTAAATCTAAGGATATCCACTGACATCTGATTCCTTGATGAGCACCTGAAACAAGTTTAAAGTGAACAAAAGATGTTACTGAATTTGTGGTAGATTGTTACAATCTCTTCTCGTTGAAGAATATGAAAATACATTGATATTTAATTTTAGATGACCTTAGAGATATACTTTTTACGGTAAAAATCGTAACGATTAATGCCAAAAACGATGGGTAAACATAGTATCAGTGCACTGCCGTGCTAAGGAAAAATGCCGTATGGATAAACACCAGACGTTACTAAATTCCCCTTTACAAATCGCGAATTTTCAGGAAAATCAGTGGATATTTCTCCTCCAATTTTTCATAGGATTTCGTTCATAATTTGATGTAAAAAGTCTGAAAATTTCAAGGAAAAATATTCATAACTTTTCTCATAAATAAACATTTTATCAAAGGCAACTTGGCAACGCCTGAAGGCTCAGACGGCGTTCTCCCTTAGCACGGCAGTGTACACATCAGTGTTTCATGTGTAACATTTTCAACAAGTTATCCTAAAATTATATCGTTGTGAAGGACTTCATTCAATTTTTTTTTTATTATTTTTTATTTCGTATAAAATATTAACTCTCACGATGTAATCATTAATTTTTTTAGGGATCATTGAATTACCTGGTGGTATATTTTGTATGTACTTGATGGATACATTTGGCAGGAAAAAGACAATGGTAGCATCTAAACTACTCATAGCAGCCTCAATGTTATTGATAACACAGTGCTCCAGTGGTAAGTTTGCCACCTATTCAGCTTTATTTTACTCGCACTTCAGAGTAAAATTATGGACCTCCCAGGAGGAGACTCACGATAGAATACTGTCACTAGGTCATATGAGCAGTGTTTAGCAAACAAGCATTAAGTAATCAAGAAAAGGAGTCAATAATAGTTTTTAACTCGTCTAGAGGCACGTTGTTCCAATCAGAAATTTGAGGTCTTCAGCAAATATTCTTCATGGAAAAAGTGAAAAACGCCTACATTTTGTGATTGTGACAAGATGTAAAATGGACTTAAAAAATTGAGATTAATGAAATAAAATTTGAAGTAGAAATGTACTTTACATCAAAAGTGATTTTAGTATGTGCGTAACTTATTTTGCCCCCAGAGGATGAAAATGCGACTGAAAGAATAATTCTGGCGTTCTTCGGTGTCGTCGGAATTTCGACAGCATTTCCAACGTTGCACTTATTTACGGGAGAGCTGTTCCCCACAGTGCTTAGGAATGTCGCCATAGGATCAGGTGTTATGTTCAGTCTGCTTGGGTCCATGGTTTCACCGTTCGTCCTATCATTGGTAACTTTTCTACTTTTCATTCATTGATTCAGAATTTCTTCAAATTATCTCGATTTTCTAGGAAAGAAAAAGAAGATGGATTCGAAAGGATGGATTCTTGGAAAGAAATACCCTTAAGAAAAAGAATAACGCGCGGACAAAAAGTTGCAAATTGATTTTATCGTGAGTGAAACTTACTGTAAATCGGATGCTCAGAGAATGCCTTCAAATTTTAGGTCAGGCAAAATCCACTACAACGATGTACGTATGATTGTATGCACGATCATTGCGGGAGAAAGAAAGACGAGACAGAGAATGCTGTTGTAAGCTCACAGGCAAATACATAGCTCTCAAAGGATTTTTCCAAATAGCCCAATTTCTTAATTCCAAACTGTTAATTCGAGAGAAGGAATAGAGAGAAATCGTTACCCTTTGTGAATTTTTTTTCTCGTAATAATATGAGGACCACGGATAAATACATACAATTGTACCTACCGCGTTTAGCAGGAAAAGAACCAAGTTAAATTTAACATTGCTAAATTTAACCGGGCAATTTAACTTTTTAGAAGAGAACGTTTGTATGGATTCCTTTGAAAATTTTAAGGAATTTGCTTCGTAATATGCAGAAAATTCACTGAAATTTGCACAAAAATCCGCAAAACCATTTTCTTGTAATAAAGTAAATTGCTTAACTGAATTTGGCAATAGCTGACGAGGCTCGGTTCTTTTCTACTTTACACGGTCCAATTATGTTTTATAACTTATTTAAAAAGAAAATGTTAAGCCTTTCAAACCGTAAATATGTTAAAGCCTTCATTCTCGCTGCAGAATGTGACCGTGCATGCTTGTTCTTTGTTAACGCTACAGCAGACGAGAGAGAAAAAGAAATCAGCCAAATTTTGTGTTTTTCAGGACGAGTACGGCGCTTATTTGCCGCCTCTGGTGTTCGGACTTTGTCCTTTGGTTTCAGCGGCCTCTTGCATGTTGCTACCGGAAACTTTGGGCTCGGAGCTTCTGCACACTTTAGAGGACTGTGAAAACTTTGGAAAGTAAGAAACTCATTTTTACATGTAATGAGCCGAATACAAACTTTTGCTAGAGGCAAAATAAGGGGTTTTTCTCATAGAAATTGTTTCGAATATAACGATGAGCGCATCGGAAAAGTCTAAAATGCACTCCTAACTTCATAATGTGCGTAAGAAATTTGCTTTTTAATAGCCTCCTGCTTCAAAAACGATACGGAACAGGTAAACATTTCGTCAGAAAAGTTTTTCCATCCAACCCCTGCGTTGGTACGCAATAGTTTACGGACAAACACTTATGTGCATAGGAAAACTAACGGTACACTTCTTAATTGCAAAAAATAGTCCTACTGTAGTAATATGCGTAGACAAAATTGCTTAACATGCATTGAATAGATTTTTAGAGGGCAATTTCTTCTAAGCCTGATTTCCTTACCTACACAATTCTGCTTTCAGGAATTCAGACAACATGAAACAAGGCAAGGTGAATTCATCTTTTGTTGGAGACGAAAGCAGTACAGATAAGCCTTAGTAAAAGGTAAAAATCATCTTGTACGGCGAGAGGTGCAATACAACATTACTATTTGTAAAGTATACACATTTCTGTAAATTCCTGTAAATTATTTGCCTGTTCAATTGTCTTTTAAATCCGAAGTAGTGCAGGGTAACGAACGTACTGAAACAATGCTACCTGAAATCTGTGCGACTTGGGATGTAGGTCGAGTTACTAATTATTTTTAGTTATACTCGTAGGTATTTCAAATACCAATAGATCTGTAAACTCAGCCAACTGCAACACGTGTTCAAATAACAGTTTTGTGTTATTTTGCACGAAAATGAATTCTTGGTATAGAAAAATATGTTTAATGTCTGGATATTATTTACATTTTTAAAGTAAGTGAATGTTAGAATCTCTAAACTTCGCGAATTTTTAACAGTTTTTGATTATGTGAATTTTATGAAAGAAATAAAAGTGAATAATAATTATTTTAGCTGAACATATGGAGTAGAAATAACACGTGGTTTCTGCTTCTTGTTGCTTACGTTTGTTTTTGGCTGTGATTATCCACGTTTTATCTGGATGGATAAATTCCTAATATGCTCATCCAGAATAGTGAAAATCTATAATTTTAAGTTTATTTTCGTAAATTTAAATTTAGATCGAAACACATAACTCGATGAGAATTTTTAGCATGGCAGAGATAAAAGTCTAAATTAAATTAATTCTTTTGTCTCTGTTGCCTCCCAAACAGTTTAAACATGAGATTCTTATTAGCATATTCATCTTACTTGCTTATTTTCTCTTAAAAGCAATTGTGCATCCCTTCAAAGGGAGCAACTTTCATGATTCCTAGGATAGGCAGTGCCCCCGTGATGTGCCAAAGCTGTGATTCAAGTCTCATAGAGACATATTATAGCTTTTGATATTGTAACATATTTTTTTACTGTTCTGTTTAAATAATTAAAGTATAAGTAAACATAGTATTAAAACCAACAGAATACTGTCTAATTTTTATCCCACCAACTGCAAAGTAAGTCCCCAGCCTAAAATCTCTCAGTCGAAGGCAAATAGCCAAATCAGGCATTTTGGTTAAATGCCTTGACGAATAGTCAAATATTCTTACGTAGATTGAAATTTTGATTTTTCACCCTAATTTTAGACAATATAATTTGTTGCCCCAGTAAGAAAAAATTCTCTGTAAAAATATGCAGCATACAATTGTATTTTAAACGATTTTAAAATCCTGAATGCACCTTTCTCATAAACTTTTCAGCGCGTCATAAAACATAGACTTTTTAAAATTTTAACATTTAAATGTACCAAAGGCATGTAAAAAGGAAGTAACAAGGAGAGTTCGCAGATTTGAAGTGTTATTGAAAACCCGAGAACTCCTCACCATAAATTTACAGAATTCCGTAACCTGTCAAAATTTAACTACCGCCCTGAGCATTTGATAAAATTTCTGATTTGACTACTATAACACCGTGCTTTCGGTTCGTATGATCTGACATTTTTCCTCAGTGCAGAAAATAAAAACTTTTTTTTTCATTCTGGAGATCGTGTTCCTTTATTTGGGCCGATTAAGCTAGGGACATCCTGTACCTGCATCGACATGAAACACGTGGCCGGTAGATCACCTGTGGAAGCTGGCGCAGTGTGGAGGAGTGCATATCGTATTCACCAGCCAGCACCCAACACTCTCTCACCCAATGCGCCAGATCAAACATCAAACAGTTGTTTTTGAGCGTCACACTTACGTGGATGTCATCCTTTGCAAACACCAGACTGTGACGTCACTGTGCGCTACGTGCGTAATAATTTATAAGATTTCCCCTTCAGAATGCGATGCTGTAATTAATACGTTTACCCAGCCTCCTTTAACCGAGCACTGTTGCCGCGTTGTCCGTCTTCCCATATTTACTTGATCTACACCCAGATGTAAAAAATACGGTTACTTAACTTTTCCCTACGGAATCATCTGCGTTGATAGCATATTGCATGAAACTGCAGAAATGCGTATCTCAAACTTTAAGTCATACTTTATTTTCTACGCGGAAAACTACCAAACTCCGTTTCTTGAAAACTTTGGTGATTTTTATTCTCGGTGTGATGAATATTCTATGAAAATTGTAAGCCATAATGTTGGTTGGGTTTCCTTTTAAAAAATGAAATATGAGCGAAGATTTTGAAACACTGCAACTGAGGTACGCATTTTTGCAGTTTCAGCATCGGTATTGAGTTGCATATCAAAGTAAGTTTAATCATGAGAGTCTGAAATTGCTAAGCACTGTCTGAACTAAATTAAGAGTTTTGAAAAAAGACGTCATAGCTAGAGAAGTACTTCTTCCTGGAAAAAATTTGGGGAATGAATTATTATTTTTATATTATGTGTAGGTATTTACAATGAGTCACAGAGGCTTGTATACAAGAATTAAGTTAGCATCAGCATCGTTATAGACAAATTTTAACATTATTAACTATGGAAGGCAAGGTTTATGGACAAAACATTACCAAGAGAAAAATATTTGTGCTAAGTCCAAAGTCCAAAAACTACGAAGGATTTCAAACACCTCCGTATGACGAGAAAATAATGACGATATACTCGTAGAACTGCAATAGTCAAAGCGCCATCTATTCTCATCCTCTGGTGAAACTCGCTGAAATAAAAACGCATTTTGATGTGGAATTGCGGTTTGTTCACCACCAACGATATGGACAAGATTCACTTCAATTTGATTCTGAAAATAGTCATGACTATCCTATTGTTTTCATGTACGAAGAGCGGGAAAAAATTTGATTAAAGCCGCATAAACCCTCGCTTTGCCTCTGATTGGCACCGAATGATGCCATCCGGTCGGCCGGAAAAATGGCGCGTTTTTAAATTTATAACAAAGTTACTAATTTTAAACCATACATTCCTCGGTTTCAGATTTGCTTGCTGACGTTTTTATTGCGCGAACTGTATCCTACGCGCCATTTATTGCAAGGAAAGTGTATTTAGAGGTCGAAATACACTCAAAGTTTAGTTAGAGTACCTGCATAGCGAGAGTGTAGAAAGATGTGAAACTCCGAAGATCCATCAGGCCTTCATCGATGCCTTTCGCGAATAAAGTTAGGGCCCAGAAATGCAGCCAACCTATAATTTCAATTATTGAGAGCTATTTATAGATACAATTGTTACGAACCATCGTTTATAAAGCACGTATTAGTTTTAGTTTTTGCATAAATTTACTCATTTTTGCGCAAGAACGCTCATTTATGTACATTCTTAGCCATCTTGGTTAGAATTGGAATCTGCAGGCTGGCAGTGAAATTTTGGGCGTTAGAAGTTGGGTTAGAAGGGTGGCTGCACTTCGGCATGGGCCTTAAGCGCTCCATAAAGCGATCTGTTCATACTCTCGCTTTATAGGTACTCTAGGTTTAGTGACCCATTCTCCACGAAAATACACGTCTGTATGTAAATTTCCCGTAACGACATGATCAATCGGCGATCCGGCAGCTTTGGTTAAAAATCAGCAACCTTTCAAATAAACGTATAATGCTAAAAGGAGCTATGTGAATGGAATCTGCGTGAGACATAGTTCCTTTTAGCATAAACACGTGCAAATAGATTCAGCCACAAAGAGAATTTGATCGCACGCGGAAATGAGCTCTGCAGTAATCAAATCATGTACATATTGATATTACCATCGAGGCTCAACTTTGAGAGCTTTTCACGAGCCCGGGAGTTAATTTCAGACAATAACAGTCGCTCTACCCTGTCTCTCTCAAAATGTTACACGCGCAACTACAACTAGATGATTAAACCGCAAATCTCTCGCTATTGTAGGGATTCTATCGGGTGAAAGCTATCATTCTACATAGCTGCAGTGAAGTCACTGTATGATTTTAGGAGGAGGAGGGGACGCATAGAATCTCCTCGTACATTGTTGAAAAGAAAACCCCTCTGAATGCATCGTAACCGCGGTATGTTTACTGTTTATAGAGGGCTCTGTCTTACGAGACAATGATGTGGTTTTCATGGTAACACATCCGCGGGATTAGTCACCTCCTAGTTGCCTTTCGTTTCTATGAACAAAAGATCCATATAAACACTGCTTGTTTGAACTTGCTTGGTTTTTGT